GGGTAGCACTTGACAGTACAAAGTTGGGGGTGGAGTTAGGTGGAACGATCCTTACAGCTTTGTTTTTTTTCTGATGACCTGTTACTGCTGTCAAGGACCCCTAAGCACAGAATGAATTCACTATTGAGAGTTGTGTCACAGTTCTGTAAGGACATGAAAATGACTCTTTCAACGTCTAAGACATACATTCTGACAATTTTCACCAGGAAAACGTTGGCGGAGCTTGAACGAATACAGTATATGGTGGGTCGTTTTATCCTCTAGGTTCCTGCAGCCACCTCAAGGGTTTTGGTTTGGTGTGATGCAGGTTTGATGCCAATGGAGCACAGGATTCAGAGTAGGCAGGCAGTGCTAATTTGGAATATCTGCAAGAAAAAGAACAACAACAGATAGATAGCGGTTCTAAGGCACCTTCTGGATGTTCAAGGTGATCCATGGGTCAGGTCATGGATGAAAATTCAGAAGGACATTGGAATGATAATGGAGTATGAGAGAAAGCATGTGTTGGTAAAGGCAATGGCAGACAGGGCTGTGAAGTTTGTCATCAGTGTCTTGCTTACACATCCAACCATGGCCACCCTCCCGCAACCATGGAATTGGTTAAAACTCCAGCCCCATGTAGCTGACAGGAAGGCCAGCAAAACCTTGAGCATGGTGCATGGTGGTAATGCCCAGATGGGAAATCAGTATAAGAACAGGTATGGAGCTAGACACATATGGTGTCCCCTTTGTAGGGTCAAGGGTGTCAGAGTTAAGCTGACTGAGTCCCATGTTATATTATCGTGTCCAGCAATATGCTCGCTACGGCTCAAGTTCAAGATTACAATGTTTAGAACAAAGGGTAAACTTAAAGGTTTACACTCAAACTGTGAGATCCTTAAGGCCTATCTTGGGGGGATGGAAGTGGTAAAACTGAGTTACCTGATAGGGGGCGGAAAATGGCTATTATTCTGGAGGCATGGCTTCAGAACCATCTGGACTGGAGAATGCACTCTGAGGTGATGGGTAATAAGTAAATGAAGTACTATTCTAAATGACTTGTTGATTTTACAGCTAATGGAGTACCTTCTGAGGCGACTCGCATTTGCAGTATTTAAAACACTTCTTGTATTATCATTTTCATGAAAGGTACCAACAGGACCTTCATGCAACTGGTAAGTGTGCAGAGGGTTTGTGGCTGTACGCCATTGAACTTGACCCATGCTTGGTGGTACACACTTTGACCTGTGTGGCCAACCGCCAATGATACCCCGCTACTCCCTTAGGGGATAGTGCGGTGACGTGGGCTCTTCACAAACCTCTCTTCGGACTGATGGGTGACTGTTTTATTTATTTATTTATTTATACCTAGTACATTGACGACAAGAAAATTTGGTGCACTTCGCGTGCCTAATTAAAAAAATTTACCCCCCTACAGAATCCTTTTTTACACCACTAAAATACTAGGCCTGTCCACCCCACTATTAATTGATTTGTTTAAACATATTGTACATTTTTTTTATATTACTATAATTATTTTTTTCCCTGTTTGGAAATGCACCAATTATTGGCCTTATATTGTAAAAGGGTTTTTTTTTCATCCTGTGATAGAAAAGTATAAAATTTGCAGCCCAACGTTTGAACCAAACAATCAGGCTTCCAACATTATCTCAGGACGGAAAAAATTCCAATGCATAGCATTACTGGCTAAGACTGATACAGTAAACTGATTGAAGTGTGTTTAAAAAAAATGTTTAATTGAGTACATATTACAGATGGATTTTTTTCTGGTTAAAAATGGTTTTGTGTTTACTGATGTAGAAAACCTTGATTTCGTTGAAAGAGTTGAAGAAATCAGATGTGATTATTAGGAATTTCAAGCAGGTAAAAATATTAGATTTAAGGAAAGAATGTAAAATTAAGAATTTTGGTGAATTTTCATACAGGATGTTAATTGAAATTGGATAAATAGTTGGAGATACCAAAGAAAAATGTTTAGGTACATTTATTGTTTGTATTATCTTGTAAAAATTAGTTTGGTTTATCTTAGTTGGGGTCGGAGACATATGTGAATCGGATTCAGATATAAACAGATGTGATTCAATAAATTACTTATCAGGGATTAGATAAATAATATTAGTGTCTTAAAACCAGGTTTTAGAGTAATATATACTCAGGGCTCTAATCTAAAATGATGATATTTCAAAAATTATCTGGTCCGGGTTCAGATAAAAATATCGATGCACTTTCAAAAAATACCAAAAGTTCAGTTTAAAATAAGTAACAATGATTTAGTGATGAGATTGGATGATAGAGAGGATGTGAATGTATCAGTCGATCAGGCGAGATAATTGAGATGAAATAGAGAAGATAGTATAGATCAAAGCTCGGAGCTAAGATGTACAGGTAATTAAACGTTCTTGAGGAATTATATGTCGTAAAAGTAGATTAAAAAATGGAAAGAATTAGGACTTCAGTAAATTAGAATTGCAGTTACATTTAGCATGAATTTTTGATCAAAATTATTTTATTTGTGATATTCCGATATGCATTTTCAAGGGGAGTTTTATTTTAATCAGGAATTTTAGGAAAAATTGATAGTTTTAACGATATTTTATATTGACAAATAAGTAGTTTATTGTTTTAAAGGAGGAAGATCTGATTTGAGGAGATTTGCTAGAGTCAAGAGGAAATTTCTCAAGAAGAATTACAGAGAGAGGTTACCTTTTGATGCAAAAACGGAGAATCTTGGATCTTGAACATCAGCATTTCTGAGAGATCCGAGCTTGAAAGTGGTTGCCAGAAAGGTTCTAGGATCATCTCTTCAATCCGGTACTATCTCCAATTATGAAGGAGTGGTAAGAGATTTTAAAGATTTCACATCTAAGAACGATTTCAGTGAAAAACCTACTGAACAGAGCGTGTCTCATTTTCTACTACATCTTGAGAAGAATCAGGTCTTGGATTCTTAAATTTGCAAAGTTAAACCAGTGTGAAGTATGTAAGAGCAGATTATTAATTCTGATTCTACCACGTTAACTACACCTGTTAACAGAATATTAGATGGAGTGAGGAATTTAGTGGTCTCTAAGGAATCACAGGTGAAGAAAGCTCCTAGACTGAACTTGGATATTATCAAGAAGATGGTGGAGAAGGTTATAATTCCCTACGTGTCAAATCCTGAGAGAGTAAACGCGAAGGATCTGAGGACCGTGTTCAGAGTTACTGTGATATACTTCACGTTTTGCAGATTTAATTGTTTCTCCAGCTTAAAGGCAGAAAATTTTCATGACAACGGGACAGAGTCAAGAATGATCCAAAGCACAAAGGTAATATTACAAAAATGGTTCAAAATGGTACCAAGTTTTGTCCAGTGTTCAATACAAGATTCTACTTAAAGAGGTTTGGGTTCATGTTCGGGAACAAATATGGTGAAGGAGAAGACCACAGGTTAGTAAACTGCAGACTTAGGAAAATAGATTATCTCTGGCAACCACAAGCAGGAGCAGGTCTATGTAATACGACGGTGACAGAACAGTTGAGAAAGTTAATATGTAAAATAGGAGAATCTACAGACACAATTACAGAGAAATCTGTAAAAATGGAAAGAGTTACAAAGATGTTGGATTCTGGAGCAACAATGATTGATGTAGCAAATCATGGAAGATGGAAAACAGTGGAAATTGTTTAAACATACAAACACAATTCAGACCAGTATAAAAGAGGTACTGCAAGCCAGATTCTGTTCTAAAATCTGTATTTGAAGCTCAATTCTGTTATTATGCTCTTTTATATGATAAATTAATATATAGTACTAAATGAATTTTTGTTTGTTTAAATTATTTTGTTGGATTTATATTTTTCTAAATGTTTTATATTTTTTTCTAGTCGCTGAAAGGGAAAATTTAAAATAAATCTAGAGTATCATTATAATTAAAGTAGCGATCTTAAATTTTAAATTAGTTAAGAGAATTTTGTATTACTATGAGATTATATGTTGGTCAAAATATCAGATTTTTGCTCAAAAGTTTGATCTTTATAAAAAGAATTTTTGAGTCCAGGGAAAGCAAAGGTTTACAAGTTAGTAGAATATTAATGTAAAGATAAATGTTGTACAGGTTAAACTGAAAGAGGTAGATGACAGTTCTGAAAAACTAAGGTTATTAAATTTTATCAGATAAATATGATCAAAGATCGCTAAAATTACCTCAAGGGGTTGTGCGTCAGACTGAGTTCTAACGATCAGCTACGCATAGCAGTATAGATTTTCTTCAAAAATAAGATTTAGGATATAAAAACTCCTTGCATATACTGTTCAGATTAACGGATCAGACATAACAATTCGAGAATTCATAGTGAAAAATAAAATTTTTTCTGAACGCCACCCAAAGATCAAAAAGTAAAGAAAAAATCGAAGGATTTAACGGATGACTGATGAAAGCTTCAGCTGTTGCTGGATAGATTTAGGATAGATAATCCAGCCTCTATTTAGGGTGGATTTATAACTGATGAAACAGTACTTCCGTAATCGTGCAACAAGTCTAAAACGTAGGATAAACTTAGGATTTATTAATCATAGGTTGTCTGACGAAGTGGCCTACAATTATTGTTCATACTCCGTACAAATGTATGGGGTGTTTTATGTTTAGAGAACCAGTAATACACACAATTCAGAATGACAAGATACTGATCAGTAAAACGTATATTCATTGGCGAGTTCATGATGTACAGGTTGTACACTTTTCAGCTTTATGTCTGCATAAACTATCTGATCTTAACAAAATTTTGTCTGCATTCTTTGTATCTTGAACAAAAACACATTTTCTGAATTTTTAGGTGAGATATTTTTTATGAATCTAGTGAGAAAAGTTTAGAAAGCTTGAAAAGTTCACCAATTTTATAATAATATCAGACCACATTTTGGAAATTCCAAATACTGGTGAGCACGCTCATTACTATTTTATTATAATGCCGCGTAAAGTAAAGAAGATTGTAATGATCATCATTTCCATCTCTCCTACCTTGCTTCGTCTTTCAGCATGAGAGCAGAACGGGTTGGTAACCAGACAGGCACAATAGAACCCTAGGATCAAACCATTCGAAATATAGGAATAAACTAAAATATTCAGCAATACAATACTAGAATTAGGAAACAGACCCAAAAAATAATGCCGAAAATTGCAAGAAAAAACAGATTATTAGCTTGTATTATTTCACTTGATATTTTTATATTTCTGTTTTGCATGACAACTCAATTTTTTTAAGAAAACCTCACTTAAATCTTAGAAAAAATTAGGAGAAAAAGAGGAAGTAATAATAAATCAAAAAATATTAGTGGAAGATGATTGCATAGAATCAATATTCTTTAAAAAATCAGAAATTTTTTACCCACATTTCATATTTTAGATGATATTTAAAAAATAGAAAATTAAAATGGGTTTGTTCCTTGGTATCTTTAAACTCCATTAATATACTGGAACCTAGGGAAACAGAACACAGCCAATCTAAACAGATTAAAAAAGTTAATAATTTTTTATGCTAGCTCTTAATGTACTATGAATATACTTAGTGAACTTATTTCGATTTACAAATATACAGGGGTGGATACTTTATAGTCACACTGGGATTTAATTTCCTATGCCGCTCTCCCCATTTACAAAATACTAGATAGCTCTTCCCTGTTGGCCTTTCGAAAATCAACCGAAGTTTATTAAATTAACAAAATGTGGGAATTGCGAAAACCTATTGACTAAGGGGCAAAAGAGCGCTTCTCCTAAAATTGTACAGAATATGTGTATACTGTAATGCACAGTGTACACTGTACAATCTACCTTTACAGCATGAGTGTATATTGTACTAAAAACTGTACTACCTGTACAGCAAGAGTGTGTATCTGTATGAGAAGGTATCCCCTGACCCGGCAGGTACAAGTTGACCGTTAGCTGGTCAGGTAGCTCAGGGATCAAACCCTGCTCCACCAGCCTGGACAACAGGGGCTCACACACAGTTGGGATAGGTTCCAGGAGTGGTTTGTCAGGGTCTATGGATTCATAGTTTCAGAATCTAATTGTTCAATGTTCATTAATCAATGGGATTGGAATGAATGAAGAATATAGGTTTTCTGTATCTTTTTCAGGTTATAGGTTTCATTGTATCTTTTTCAAAATATAGGTTTTACTGTATCTTTTCAATCCTTTTTACTTAAAAAGAACAGGCATTGAATTCTTACCCACTTAACAATAACATCTCTGATCAAATGTTTAAAGACTTTTAACATGGATAAGATCTTAATATGGGTTGGATTAGTTCGAGACAAGTTTTGTGAGACGGACGTTATCTGAGAAAAGGCCAGAGCCTTGAAATGAAAAGATGTACAAAATTTTATTAAAAACTACTTGATAACAGAACAAGATATTGTTTCTCCTATAGAGTATTGGTATATTGGAATGAAGGGGGGGGGAAGAGGACTAATGATAAACTAAGAGTTTCCTATGTCATTAATAGTATAATCGAACTTGAAACCAAAATGTTGAACTTGTCTATGCTTGAGTTCTCCTGATTCTCCGATCTCCTCGGAGTTCTCGAAACCTCGTTGGAAATATTCTGAGCAAATCCTAGATATAAACCTGGAAAAGGACGATTGGTTGGGTCTTAAACTAAAATCCGGAATGAAACTAGTAATTAAGTTTTTGCCACAAACACTAATGTTCTTATCCCTATATCTTTGCAGCTATTAGCTAAAAAGTCAAAGTTTGAAATATAAAAGGTTTACATCATTATGTTAAGGATTATGTTAAGGATTATGCTAAGGATTATGTTAAGGATTATGCTAAGGATTATGCCAAGGATTAGGTTAAGGATTAGGCTGAGGATTTGGCTTAGGAATATTCTTTGAATTATGGTAAGGATTAAGCTATAGATTAGGGTAAGTATTAGGAAAGGAGTTAGGTCAAGATGGCTAAGAATTAGTTGTGTATAATATTTAGATTAAGGTTCAGGTAAAGGTTCAGACTAAGGTTAGCTCCCTATTAGTGAGGTCTCCTCCAGGTCTGATATAAACTCCGGGATGAGATGAAGACCAGAAGGAGGAGCAGAAACCCAGGGATCCTGGATTTCAGGAACTAAAACAACAAATATTCTATCCAACATTTTCTAATTTATGGTGACAGAGAATTTTTCTGACAAAGATAAAAATAAGTTCCCTTCCCCCTTTTTTTCTTTGGCCCTGTTGTGAATTTAATTATTTAAAAATTTATCTATTTTTGAAGAAGGACAATTGAAATAAAATATTAAAATATTAAAATCGCTCAAGTTGGATAAATACGGTTTCCTGAGAGTATGTATGAGAGATAAATGGGTCCCTTTCCATCCAGGGACATTTTTCCGTTCACTCTCTCCATTCCTTGCTGGTCAATCAGTATATATTCATAATTTGGTTTCAATAAAAAAAAACAAAATGGAGAGATTTAATTTTTTTTAGCATAATTCTAAGATTATTCTAGTTTTAACTGTAAGAATTAAGGAAATAATCTAAACATTAATAAGGTGACCTGTAGGTTTTAACAAATGAGCAAAGAGCTAGAATAATTTTTAAACCAGTTTTTATAAATTCATAATATAGGTTTAAATTATTTTTTAATTATTTACTTCTTAATTATATAAATATTTACATTTTTTTGCTAATTCGTATGCTAGATTGATCTAATGAACTAAAATGAAGAGAAAGTTTGCGCATCGTCAAATAATGAATTCCAAGAACGTTCAAATGCCCAAGAATGTGTCTAAAAAGGCATTACGTCCAGGGGCTTTCAAAATTTGGTTTACTTCATAATTGACAGAAATACTAACAAAATAGTTAAAAGTAGAGCACATTTCCCAACATCTGTAGAAGGTACAAAATGGTGCACCACATTTTGGTAACCTGTATTAGATGGTAATTACAATTGCATGTAACCAGGGGCGAACAAACAATATCTCGGGGGGGGGGGGCTTAAGCAACCAAAATAAATTTGCTGGCCCCTCCCCTAAAAATTGAACATAAAGCTGTAAACTTCCAATTTCTTATTTATTATCACATTTCGAGATTTACTAATCAAAAATGAAACATTTTTATTGAAACCGATTAAGCATAATTAAGTATCTTATCTGTAATTAAGAAATAAACAATTAAGTCGCTGTCCAATTAATAATATGAATAGGAATTTAAACTTTTAGTAAAAATATTTTCTTTGTAACAACATCAAAACGCTTAATTATTGCTATAATGTCGTATTTCTATTCCATTGTTTTTTGGTTATTACTGTATGGAATATTTAACTTTTTCCCCAAGCACAAAAATAACAATCGCATCAGACTCTTGATCAAGATTTTTTTTATTTTTAAAGACCTTTTTTTAAACAATAAAGAGGCGTTTCTCGTTTTTCAAATGATAAGAAAGAAAAATAATTAAAAAAAGAATAAATAATCATTTAAACCACCTTAGGCATTTTTCGTTTTAAAAATTTCCTTTTTTGAAAGAGAATAAACATTTATGATTATGTTTTATAATGTGACACATAACCAGATGGCATGCACAAAGAGTAGAAAACAATTTAAAAAAGGTATTTCAGTTCAGGTCATTTCTTCAATTCTATTTTCGTTGTATCTTTCATCCCTTGATGCTTTTATATCATGAATTTCATTAGCGGCGGGGGGGGNCCTTTGAGAAAAAAACTATTTTTAAAAAAAACTGAAAAGAACATAAAGAATATGATAATATAGTTCCTGAGCATCATGTAACGAAGGAAAGACCAGGAACGCGTAGGATTTCTGTGGAACAAGGATTAGATTCTCAACTGAACAGATACCAGAGAATAAGGATAACAACGCTTCCCTAATAATAAAAAATAATAAATAAAATACGTCCTGTTATTTTTTTTTATATGAAAAACAGTGTTCTTATGGTTCGTTACTGCGGTACACACACAATAACAGCAAAATTTATATTTTTCTTTCAATCGATTTTATTGTTTTTCTAAGCTGCTTTAGCACAAGCAAAAATACTAAAAAGGATAACACAGGCTGGATTTTTTTTCTAGAAAACGCTTTTTGAGGAAGACGACTTTTAAACTCAAAATAGGACTTAAACTAGTTCAATGAACATTAGCCATAGCAACTGTACTGTGTAAATAGACCCTTTTCATTTAAAGTGTGCTTTTCTAAGTTGCTAGTAAATCTATTTGCTTTGTAACAACATCACAACGCTTAAGTATTACTTTAACGTCGTCTTTCTACTCCATTGTTTTCTGGTTCTGGTTTTCTGTAGGTTGACTGAAATCCTGAAATGTGTCTAACCTTGAAGCTCCTGTGACCAAGCCGGCGTTACAAACAAGAACATTTTGAGAAGGTTTCTCACTTTCACAGATTTCGAAATCCTTTCTCGCAACTTGAAGCGCCTTTGCTTGTTTCCGTGTCACTTTTTTAAAATCTTTCTCCATTTTATTTTAGGCGTTGATAATAAATTATTTTGACAATAAAGGAAAAGGTTTTTTAATAAAACTTTTCCCAAGTCTAATGTTTTGCTTACATAAACACTTTGATGGAGTAATCTGCAATCGTGGTTATTAACTTATTATCATGTCCTAACAAACATGTTTACAAATTAGTGCAGACGAAGACCTGCGCTTTTGCCGCGTTTAAGAACCTAAAAATATTAAAATCTTAAGTTTTTGATTGAACGAATTTGCCTGGAAATAAACATAAGAATAAAATTTAAAAAGATGTTGACATCAATGGCAATTCCTAAATTCCTTCAATTTATCAAAAAGTTTTTATTAAATTGAGTTTGAATATTATAATTATTGCAAAGACGATCAAAGACAAGGCTGGAAGACTGCAGTTTTAATTTTGAGAATTTAGAATTTTTCTGTTAACATTAACTTTTGGCACAAAATCTTAATTTTTAACATTTTCAAATAAGTTTTCTTTTTCCATATCGCCAATGTATTTTCCACACATATTTAATGACATTTTATTTCGTCAAATCCGAATCTGTTAAATAGAAAAGAAATACAACGTTAGAGTTGCATCATCTTTCAATTTCTAACGAACAATCTCTTTAAATGCCACGTTACATTTCCAGCCTTTCTATTTAATGCAACAACACTCAAACACAACAACGTAAATGAACCTGCAGGAAGGGAGTTAGTAAAATCATAAGTTTTTGTCAATTTATGATTCCAGAAAAAAAATGTCCGAAGAAGATAAAGTGCCAGGGCTTCTGTCCGACAAGTCTGAAAGGTATAAATTGGATTCAGAGGGAAATTGACGAAACTAAGTTTGGGGTCTGTCCAAATTTTGTATTCCTTATAAATTACTTCCGTAATAAAAATATTGCCTCTCTTAGGCTCATTCGAAAGCTGTGGAATTAAAGTTGACGGGAAATAAATTCTACGGCGAGGGTAAATATGATGAGGCTGTACAAAAATACAAGGTACGTCGTTTTTTAAGAGTTTATTTACTTTTCCAATAAATACAGACTCTAATTTTTTTCTCTAAAATTGATTTAATTTTTGTTCAGGAAGGCCTAGCTCACAATCAAGCAGATAAGCAAGATAAGCAGAGGCAAACTAAGCTATTCATCATCCTTAAAAAGTAAAACTTTTACTTTTACCACTCAAGAGAGTTTTAACGCAATTTAAAGTTTTTAAAGTTACCTCTACCTCTACATATAAAATTGTTTTTCAAGGGATTATTTAGTTTATTTTGAAAATACAAAAAGTTGCCAAATTTTCTATCAGAACTAAGACAAACTATCGCTTAAAAATTCAGATTACTCTATTTTCTCCGTGTAAGGCTCATTGAAAATCCGGGTTTTCTGTGAAATTCGTTCAATTTTTTGAGACTTTCCTTTAATTAGATCAGTAAGTAAGAAAAAGTAATAACAGTTTTTGAGCTTTAAAGTTGACTTAGTTGTATTGCTAATATCAAAATTTGTGAAGTTATGATCCAGTATTTATCATATCTGTTCGGTTCCTATCATGAAATAATTTTCATTCTTTAACACTTAGACGCGTATACTGGATTTTAGCCCGGGGGGGGCAAAAAATGTTGCCCCCTGGCCTTAAAAATGCTGTTATTCTATATTAAGTTACATGTTCCCTCTTTAATCCATTGTACACTTAAATCCCTCTGTATAGTTCTGCATTACTCTGACGTCCTTTGTAGTCCACTGTAGTCCCAATTCAAGTATTACACACAATTAAATGTGTCCCTCTGTATAGTTCTGTATTACACTCTGAAGTCTTTTTTAGTCCACTGTAGTCCTGTTTCAAGGAATATACAGTTAAATCCCTCTGTATAGTTCTGCATTACTCTGACGTCCTTTGTAGTCCACTGTAGTCCCAATTCAAGTATTACAAACAATTAAATGTGTCCCTCTGTATAGTTCTGTTTTACTCTCTGAAGTCCTTTGTAGTCCACTGTAGTCCCGATTCAATGACTACAGATTATAATGTATCTCTCTGTATAGTTCTGTATTACTGGGGGGCAAGAGAACTTCTGCCCTACCTCTAGCTGTCTACTTGCCTGTTAACACTCGTCCGTGAAAAAAAATGGAAATTATTAAACTGTCAGAGCGTGAAAAAATGTATTCTCTTACACGCTCCAAGCATTGAAGTTTAAAAAATATAACACTACATAGTTCATGAAATGTCATTCTTACAAACTCCTAACATTAAAGTATAAAAAGTTAACAATTTTCTGAGGATAAAAATGAATTTTTTAAATTAGTTGAAATAATCCTCGTCAATTTATCTAATAATAATATTACATTAACAATTTCTTTTATTTTAGCAACCTAGCTTTGATATATATCAAGCAAGGGAAGTTTGAGGAAGCTAGGGACTGCTGTTACGGTAAAAAAATATAGTTTAAATTTGAAAAATTTAAATCCCCAGAGCATAGATTTTTTTGCATGGGATTTCCAGCTTAATCTTGGAATTCAGGATCTAAACTTGATATACAGTGGACAAACTTTAAAGATAACCTAAATCCAGGAACTCGTTTTTAATCCACATGACTCCCAGACTTTTTCGTAAAACAAAAACAAAAGTTCAAAGCTCTAATAAGTTATATTTTGTAAAAGAAGAATAGCTAATAGCAGTACTAAATAGAAAGATAATAGAATAATAGAATAAATATTCAGATGCTGATGATGCAGATTCCAAGCTTGAGAGAACCTTTATCCGTTGTCACCAAGCTTTCTTAGGGTAGGGTTAAACAGTTTTCAAACAGAGGTCGTAACTTTTGTGTTGAGTAGAATGAATTATTTTTCAATAAGTAAAGTTATCCCTGTAGAACATGACCGGAGGTCTGGGGGGTTCATAACGGGACCTCTTTTTCAGATTTCTTTTCAAATAGTTCAAATAGGGGAACCGGTTTACCGAAGAATTGTTATGCATTTTGGGCGGATTTTAATTTTTGAATAATCTGAATGAAATCTTAAGGATGCTTCTTTTTTGATTTTGTAACAAAATAATCTTTGGCCAAAAATAATCAGATTTTTTTTTAAATACTCGAGAATCTTGTCTGATAAAAACACCAACAAATCTTTCTTCCCTTCCTGCAATTATGGATTAAAAAGAAGTTACTCCTATTTTATTCTAACCTTCCCGGAAAAATGAACTTCTAAATATCAATATTTTGTTGCTAGGTTGGATGAACAAGTGTTGGCTTATCATTCGCTTTGTCGAGGTCATAATCGTGTTCAGAGCGAAGCTAAAAAGGAACTGATGGAGGCAATAGATAAAATGAAGGTCAACCATATACTTGTCCACCATAAACAATAATTGAACAATACTTGACAACCTCAAACATTACTTGACCACCTTAGAAACTTTACCATCTTAAACAATACTTGACCATCTTAAACAATATTTGACCACCATAAATAATACTTCACCACCTTAAATAATACTTGACCACCTCAAATAATACTTGACCACCATAAACCATACTTGTACACCTTAATCAATACTTGAACACCCCGAAAAATACTTGTCCTAAATCACCACCTTATACAATACTTGACAACCTCAAACAATACTTGACCACCTTAGAAACTTCACCACCTGAAACAATACTTGTCTATCTTAAACAATAATTGGCCATCTTAATATATTATGCGTAGGAAGAAAGTGTAATAATCAATATTATAACAATAATTTTGATTATTACACTTTCTTCCTACGCATAATAATATTATACCACATTCTTGGAGGATTTAAACGCATTCCCAGAATTAATATGTTAATTCTTATTTTAAATTTATCTATCTATCTATCAAGTTCCCGGTGAATAATTCTTGATATTGTCACTTAGTTCGTGGATCTATCTATCTATCAAGTTTGCGGTGAATAATTCTTGATATTGTCACTTGGTTCGTAGAATATCATAATTATTACATAAAATGGGTGACAATAACAAGAAATATTCCGGATTTGGCTACGTAGTAAATCCGATAAAAATGTGGTATAATAAACAATACTTACCACCTTAAACAATATTTGACAACCTTAAACAATAGTTGAACATTAAACAATATTTAACAACCTTAAACAGTACTTGAACATCTTAAGCATGCAATATTTGGACACCTTAAACAATACTTAAACATCTTAAAGAATATTTGACAACCTCAAACAATAGTTGAACATTCTAAAACAATATTTGAAAATCTTAAGCAATACTTGACCATCTTAAACAATATTTCACAACCTTAAGCAGTACTTGACCATCTTAAACAATATTTGATAACCTTAAACAATACTTGAACATTAAACAATATTTGACAACCTTAAACAATACTTGAACATCTTAAACAATATTTCACAACCTTAAACAATACTTGAACATTAAACAATATTTGGCAACCTTAAACAATACTTGAACATCTTATACAATATTTGATAACCTTTAACAATACTTGAACATCTTAAACAATACTTAAACATCTTAAACAATATTTGACAACCTTAAACAATACTTATCATCTTAAAAGACAGTTGAACACCTTAAAACACGTCTTGAAATATTAAAGTAATTTTTCACCTTGAACGATACTTGATCAACGTAAGCATACTTCACATTGAACAACAGTACGTGGACCACCTTACACAAAAGGTTTGAATCTGTCAACAATGCTTGCCGCTACTTCTTACTCTTTTTATGTCAAAATAATTGTTTTAAATGGTTTGGAAGTAAAAGAGCAGCAGCCCTAGTTTTGTTTTTTATCAGTATCAAAAATTCTAGGAACGGCGGATTATTTTGTGGGAGAGAGAAAAATTATATTCAGAAAATATAGATCCCTGTATTATATAAGAACGAAAATATGTACCCCTGTTTTGTTTGAGAAGGAGCTTATATACCCCTGCTTTGTTTCAAAAGGAAAATACATACCCTGTTTTATTTTAAAAGGAAAACACATGCCCTGTTTTATTTCAAAAGGAAAATACATACCCTGTTTTATTTTAAAAGGAAAATTCATACCCTTTTTTATTTTAAAAGGAAAATACATACCCTGTTTTATTTAAAAAGGAAAGTACTTATCTCGGTTCAACTTAAAAGTATAAAATATATCCCTGTTCAATTTTACAAATTAAATATTTACCCCTGTTATATTTCAGAAGGATTATCCCAGCGCAACAGTGACCCAACCCACCAAGAATCTTACTCTCCGACAAATAGGAAAATTCAAGTTTAAAATATTTTTTTTTTATTATGAAAAGTCATAATTAAAACAGTCTGGTTTTGGCGTGGATCGGAATCTGAGGAGCCCAAAATTGTGGGATTCGAATCCGACGAAAAAAGAAATTCATGATCAGGATCTGGATTCTTGCTTGACATTGCGTTTCTCAAGGCATAAGTTGTCGATATTCAATTTTTTTAAAAAGCACAAATATTTTTAATTAACTTGTGTTGTTTGGTCCAGTCCATGGGTTTATTAACTTGTGTTGTTTGGTCCAGTCCATGGGTTTCTGAAAATATCAATTCATGGGTAAAGTTAATTCTGTTCAGTTTCTACATTTTTTTAGAGATCCGTACTGTCGAACGGAATATAGCCGTATATTTTATAATCTTATAAGTCTGCGGATGCGCAGAAGATCACGGGATCATGCGCAGTCTTGTCTAGATACTTTTTAAGAGAAATATTTTCGTCTTTAAACTTGCTCTCACATTATAGCCTCTGAATACTTCAGTAAAACAAACATACCAAAAGTATTGAAACCTGGTAAGAATTTATAATTTATTAAATATTTAAAGTTTTATTATTTAATTTCAAACTTATTCGTTGCACTTGTAAATTTTCTTTTAGGTTTAGTAGACATGAAACTTTTTTATTAACTAAAAATTATAAACATTTTTAGATAAAATTCCTCCTTTTAATTTTTAGATAAAATTCCTCCTTTTAATTTTTAGATAAAATTCCTCCTTTTAATTTTTAGATAAAATTCCTCCTTTTAATTTCGATTTCAAATGTCGTCGTATTTAATTTATAATGGTGCGTCAAGTATTTTAAATTGGATCTGGATCCGGATCCGGATTCTGGATCCGCACTGGAAAAAAATGGATCCGCACTTGAAAAAAATGGATCCGGATCCAGGTCATTTCTGTAAAATTTACTGAATTTTTTTAACAAAAATTATTTTCAAATTTTTTGTTTGCTTATTTTTATTCTAAAACTTGATGAACCATTCAGAAATGAGGAGTTTTTGTAATCTCTCTTTTTTTTTAAAGTTCAGTTTTCAAAAGTTTTTTTTACAGTTTTTGGTTGATTTTTTACCCTTGGATCCGGATCCAGGAAGCCAAAATCTTGCGGATCCAACGGATCCGGATCCGGATCTTAAGCATTGTTTATAATAGAGCTCTTTGCTCTGATATTTCTGTTAGCGGGGCAAAAGGCTGGAAGGGAACCCATAGGTTCCCTGGGGGTAACATAGGATGAAATACGATTCACGGTAGTACCATTTAATACTGAACCAGAACCTGAGCTGTAAAATTTAGTTAAACAAAAGATATTCTTGTGAATGAGTGAGGGCCCTCGGTAAATCAAAATCCGGGTTAAAACCTCCAGAGGTCGGAACGTTTAAGTAAAGTATCGTTAAATTGAATTCTTGATCTCAATATCCAATATGGGAAACTTTAAAATTTAAGGATCAATGCTTTATTCCTCAGTTAAAGGTATCTCTGCAGGGCATGACCACCCCAGGATATCGAATTAAACCGATCCCTAGGTCTGCTTGATCTCAATATCCAATATGGGAAACTTTAAAATTTAAGGATCAATGCTTTATTCCTCAGCTAAAGGTATCTCTGCAGGGCATGACCACCCCAGGATATCGAATTAAACCGATCCCTAGATCTGTTTGATTTCGAGACTCACAACACTATAGTTCTGACTGTAGGACAAGGTTTCTAATATTGAAATGTGTAGGTTTAAGCGAGAACAAAGGAAAGAAAACTGCTGGAGTCTCCGGTGACGGGTTGGATCCTAAACCCAGCGCAGTCTGCAATGATGATGGTTCAGAATCCAGGGAACTAGAAATCTTTTAATGTTTATTGTTTCAATCTTTTTAACTTTGGTCAGGGATGTTCATTTTCTTGAAAATTCTTCTTTTTTTCTCCATTTGTTAGATAAATTTTTTGAGGGTTCGTTGGTTAACTTGGTAAACAAAATATTAATAATTTAATTTGTTTGGTTAAAGTACTAAAAAAGGAGGAAAAACTCCTTCTGATTTCCAACTTTTCATTTTTCCCAGTTCATCAACGAATTATTCACCCCGGTGTTGATTCAAATGCAGTTGTACGACGTACGTAAGTGTTTTGAAGAATTATACATAATCTTCCCACATATATATAGCTTTTAAAGTAAATGATTTATTCATTTTGCTCAAACATTCCCTTCTTCAATTTAGTAGGAAAGAAAGTGAAAAAAAGACCTGACGAAGAAACAAGAAGAGCGCGGAAAGAAGAAGCGCAGAGGAAGAGAGAGCAAGAGGAGAAAGAGAGGAAGGAGAAACGGGAGCAGGAGGAGAAGGAGAGGAAGGAAAAGCGTGAGCAAGAGGAGAAGGAGAGAAAGGTGAAACGGGAGCAAGAGTTGGAACTTGAGGGTATACGGAAGGAAAAAGAGAGGTTGAAAACCAAGGAAGAGCGCTTGAAAAGGGAGCAGGAAGGATTGAGAAGAGAGAAGGAGGAGATGATGAGAGATGAAGAAAAATCAAAGAACAATGAGGAGTTTAAAGCAAGGGTAAAGATGCAAAAAGAATTCAGTCATTATTTGGAGGTAAATATATTGAGCATTTTATAAGACAGGCAAGTTTTTCATTGATGGGGTTTTTATCCGTTTTATGTAGGTTGGTCAAATTTACGGTTATATGACTTGATGATAAGCTATTTAGGACAATATTTATTAAGTCATGTAGAGGCAGAATTTTAAGAATTTGAGCCGCGGCTTAAATTTGAGACGCGGTTCAAATACGGTTGGTTCCACTTAAAATTGTATTCAATGTTTCAAGATTTAAGCCGGCGCTCAATTGAAACCGGGTTTTGGCGGATTTAAGACGGGGCTTAAATTCATTAAATTCGGACTCTGATTATGGCCCATCACTAAGTAGCGGATGTTTTTCTCTCTCTCTTTCGGTTTAGTTGGTTGCATATTTTTTCCCTTGCGGTCCTTCTACTCAATAAGATGAATTAACTTGAAGTCATTTCATGGATCAGCGCATCAGGAGAAAAAATGAACCAGGGGTGTATCGAACAATTTTCATTTCATTTAAAATTCGGTGTTGGTAATTGATCAAACCTTTATAGCGTAAATAAAGTAAATGTTAGTTCCACATTTTTTGGTCTGAGTTGACCCTCGTCAGTTCTTGAGATTGTTTTTGTCATGAAGATTAAAAACAAACAATACATTTTTTTAAATATCTTGTGTGAGGAATGATGGTATGAATGATATATTCCTGAAAATATATATCCCTGAAATGAAAACTGTGTTTGAAACTTGTTCTTGTTCTGCACAGATTTGTGTAACTGTATTCTCCTACATTGTAAGGGGACAAAGAGGGAAGGAGATCTTTATGTCTAAATAATTGTTTTCAGAGGAATCCTGGGACCTGGCCGGGAAATATTAACGATCAACCTGACGATTTTAATAGTAGAGTTGATTAGATTTACGGCAGGTTAATTATATATCCGTATATTTACGGTAGGTTAATTATATATCCGTATATTTACGGTAGGTTAATTATATATCCGTATATTTACGGCAGGTTAATTATATATCCCTTCAAGAACCCCCCCCCCCCTCCTGTTAATTTTTGATGCTCTTTCATTGATAAATTGAAAGGTTTTTGGGGGGTGGGGGGTGAGATATATACTCAAAGCATTAAAAGCTTTCGGCAATAAATAGTATACATCTTATTAAACTGTATGGGAAGGCTTAGAGGGGGAATCATGAAGTCTTACTTACTAAGTCTCCTCTGCCGATAATGTGGTATGTGGGACAATGGCCGCAATGACGAATTAATAAAGGTTATCATAGAAGCATCGCGTAGGTAAGAATTTCTGTGAACAATAAAAATAATAACTGTTTAATTCTAGGAAGGTTCTCTAGCACTTCAGAACGAGGCTGGAGCATCTAGTTTCGAGTTTATGCACAAAGCTCTCCAACTCATCAAAACTCAATACGATAGCCTCTGGTAAGCAGAAACAAAATAGAGTAAACGATAAACATGCCAAATCTTACTCCTCGGCAACCCCTTGATTATTGATATTTTTTCTTTCTGTGGGGGGCCAATTATGTAATTAAGGCCAAGGAACTATAAACTGGAACGCCCAACTCAGATATACGCAAATTGTGTACTGTACTCTGTGGGAGGAATGTAAACAAACCCAGTGCCCACACAAAAGTTGAAGGGAAAGGACTATAGCTCTAATGTGATATTAGAGTCCAACAAAAAAAAAAAACTTAATATAAGAAGTTAGAGCGAATACTTAAGATTTTTGGCTTTCTGGTCAATATGGAAAATACAATAGCAATATATTCTTATTCCATCCATTGGGCCCTTTACCATCAAAAACGATGCATTGCCCCTGAATTCCTTGTTTTGATCTCCTACCACTGCAGTACACAGATTTGACGCATGAGATATGGCGGTTTCTGGTCTATATATTTCTTGATTAAGGCCATCATTGTCGTTATTTTTCAAATGTATATTTTTTAGTTTCAATGGGGAGTGTTAGCGAAAAATAAAAGGTGAGGGGGGGGGGTAAGGCTGAATCTTAAAACAATCAGATTCGATCGCTACTAATTTTACTTCTATCTGTTGCGCCTATAAGGAGAAAATGATTGAAACGCCCAAGAGCACATAGCCATTATAAATTCACTTCTTGCGATTTTCCTCTCAAACCGTTAATAATTCAATTAAATTTTAAAATGATCATTCAAATTATTAGAATGAAGTTAGCTCAAACTGAAAGGCATTTTTTGTGAAGACTCCCTTAAAGGGGAGAGTCAACCAAAATTTTGTGTCGTTTAATGATTTGACTGTCGTGCTATTTATTTCTTGAACATGTCGAAAAACTAAAAGGGAGGATTGCATTGCTAGAAGCTATTATATTAGTACTTATGATAAAAATAATGATAATTTGTTTTATAGTTGGATACGCTCTGTAAAGGAAGTGAGTAATCCGGAAGTTGTGGCGATTCGGTATATTTACGGCAGGTTAGTTCTATATCCGGTATAGTGTATATATACGTCAGATTAGTTATATATCCGGTATATTTACGGCAGGTTAGTTATATATCCTGTATATTTACGCAGGTTAGTTATATATCATGTATATTTACGGCAGGTTAGTTATATATCCTGTATATTTACGCAGGTTAGTTATATATCATGTATATTTACGGCAGGTTAGTTATATATCCTGTATATTTACGCAGGTTAGTTATATATCATGTATATTTACGGCAGGTTAGTTATATATCCTGTATATTTACGCAGGTTAGTTATATATCCTGTATATTTACGCAGGTTAGTTATATATCCTGTATATTTACGGCAGGTTAGTTATATATCCTGTATATTTACGCAGGTTAGTTATATATCATGTATATTTACGCAGGTTAGTTATATATCATGTATATTTACGGCAGGTTTATTATATATCCGTATATTTACGGCAGGTTAGTTATATATCCTGTATATTTACGACTAGTTAGCTAAATATCCGGTATATTTACGGCAGGTTAATTATATATCCGTATATTTACGGCAGGTTAATTATATATCCGTATATTTACGGTAGGTTAATTATATATCCGTATATTTACGGCAGGTTAATTATATATCCGTATATTTACGGTAGGTTAATTATATATCCGTATATTTACGGCAGGTTAATTATATATCCGTATATTTACGGTAGGTTAATTATATATCTGTATATTTACGGCAGGTTAATTATATATCCGTATATTTACGGTAGGTTAATTATATATCCGTATATTTACGGCAGGTTAATTATATATCCGGTATATTTACGGCAGATGGTTAAATAAATATCCGGTAATTAAAAAGAACGGCGTTTAATTTTTATTAAAAAAAATACTATTCAACGTTTATTTCTATTTTAGAGCCGGTGTTGAGACGAATATATATGAAAACATTATACTGGCGAGGGACAGTTTTAATCATATTCTTACTCATCATCAACATGTCAAGTAAGCCAAATATATTTTATGAAACTATTGTGCACTTCATCATTATTACTCACCTTATCGTGAATTTCATAATAAACGTGCTATAAAGTAATCCTCTTGCTGTAAAGTTGAATTAGCTGCACATTATAGCACTTGTGCTATAAAGTTTTGATTGGTTCCCGGATTTTGGATATTTCCAAAATATTTTTTTTCAATTGAAATGAAAATAAAATTGAAATCAACTTTATATGTTGACTTCTGCTTTGTTTTAAAGATATTTAATCTAGAAATAGCCATTGAAATAAGACAAGTACACAAACGTTTCATAAAATTACCTATAACACTATTATTTTGGCACGACTTGCTTAAAAATTATTGGACTTAAATTTTCTCTATATCTCGAATGATCCTTCGTTTCACAAGTCGATTTCTCGATTTCTGGTCCAAAAATGTTTAAAAAAATAAATTAGTTTAAAAACTTCCTCCTCATCGAGAACAAAATATAGTTTATTTTTTATCTCAGAATTTCCATAAAAGTTTAGCGATAAAAGTACTTAAAATTTTGTCATGACTTTTCAACATATGTCAATTATTTGTCAATTATTTGTGATGATTGATTTTTGGGAAAACACAACTTCTACCCCACTGGATAATATTGGTTTTCCTTCTAGGTTTCCAGCGGTTTACTACGGGTTTGCTCTGCTTTATCAGAAGTTGAATAGATACGATGAATCTAAGAAATATACTAAGCAGGGACTGGCCTACCTAGAAAAAGGTCAAATTTTAAATTCGTGGAATTAATTTATGAAAAAAATTGTGAACAATAGTTTCCCCCCCTCCCTCCTTTTCGATACTTTTCAACCCGAAAGTTCGTGTATTTTCGCCTACTCGGGGGAGGGGCAGTTCTCGATCCCTTAGACCATTCTAGCCGCAGCGCTCGGCCCCATTGCAGCCTGAGGCGCCTCAGAAGACCTTTCTTTACTTACTTTTTTTTAATTAAACAGTTAATATGAAATTTTTTATTATTGGGTACAGATAATACAGAAAAATTCTATTATAATTCTTGTCATCTTATTTTCCTTTTCTTCTTTTGTCGACTGTCCCTTTCAGGAATTTTGGAGAGAAAAAAAAATAATTTTTGTCGAAAATTGAGAGGTTGCCACATAGGAAGTCTGCCTTTGGAAAATTCCTTTGTGAAAATACCACCTAACCCCGTTTTAGTAAGTTCAGAGTTCTGTTTTAATAATGAAATAATATTAATATAGGTCTTGTGTTTCCTGCCATAAATTGGCCCGGACTGCCGACCCTACCAATCAACGAGACGATCAAGGAGAACTTGTTCAAGATGTTAACCTCACTCAGACTAGAGCTGAACCTGCCTCCTGAACCCAACGCTATCTGCAGGTTCAAGGAGTGTTTAACCAACCAGGTTCATATTCTACCAAGTGACAAGATCTACCTCTCCGATCCAGACTACAAGGGGCACTACAGGCTCCAGTGTAACGAGGAGTGTAGGCTGGAGTATCATAAGCTCTGCTGGAACTCTATCAAGGAGAACATCAAGGTTGGGAAGATACGAACAGAGAAAGATTGTCTAGGTCAGCCATGTTTAACTCCGGATTGTGGCGGAACTTTTGTGAAAATAATATTTTTTGACCAGAACGGAATGGAACATGTGAAGGAGGATACAAATATTAGGAGAGTGGATGATGAGGAGAAGCGGAGAAAACGAGACGAAGAGGCAAAAAATAAAATAAAAAATGAATCTAAAAAGAAGAAGAAGAAAAGAAAATCACCCACCTTTGAAGATAATGATATAAGTGTTAAGGAGAACGTACCAATAGCAGAACCTGATTATTCATCAAATCAGATTGATTATTCTAATATCGATGTAAGTAATGCGACTGTTGTGAAAAAGACTAAAGCGCCGGAAATGGATGAAGAAGAGGGTCAAAAAAAGAAAAAAGAGAAGAAGAAAAATGTTTTAAGTCTGGATGAATTTCGTGGAAGCAGCGGAGTAGAGGTAGGAGACTTGTTGGGTTTTATGGAATTTTAATATTTGGCGGATTTTCTACAATTCGGTTGAACTTTACTTGAAGGATTTGATTTTCAAGGATTTCAATGTTTATTTCAGAAGGAAATTCAGTTAAAAAATTTGCAATTATTGAATCAAAATCAAGATGATTTTGTGTTCTTCGTTTTTAAATTTATCCTGAAATATTATCTTATTTTCCTTATCTCCCTGCCTACTACCTCCAGTCAAAACATACAAAATTTAATCTTAAAATTCATTAGTTGCGTAAAATATTAAATCGAGTCGTTTATATCCATGAGAAATATTTATTATATTATGGGATTTTCTTTATAATTTCAAGTGACCCGAGGGCCATGCCCGAATCACAACGGTACCCTTTAATCCTCCATCTGATCAATAATGTGGAAAATGTTCTCGTTTATCTACCAGAGCTGGGAACTTTTGATTTCTGGATATCGGGATTAATGCTTGATCCACTCTTTTTCTTTATCTCGAGATTAAATAATGCTTGTTCTCCTCTTGTTATTAATCCCCAGATTAATTAACTGATCGGGATTAAGGATATCTCATTCAAAAGTTTTCAGCTCAGCTTAAAAAGTGTTCTATTTTTAACAATTTCCTCTAGTGTTTTTGTAGCCGAAATCCGCAATTCACTTATACGGAGAAACCACTATAGAAACAATCAGTTTGCAAAGCGAAAAACATGTATAAAATTCATCAGTGATTAGACAAAGCTTAAACCAAGTACCGTTGTAAATCGGATCTTTATGTCTAAATAATTGTTTTCAGAGGAATCCTGGGACCTGGCCGGGAAATATTAACGATCAACCTGACGATTTTAATAGTAGAGTTGATAGGGCCAATCAGTTCAAGGCTTTTGTAGGTAACTCAACCCCCCCCCCCCCGCTATACATACAGGGGTTCAATAGTTTATATGCTACATACCACCAGTTCCGGAAACCATCCCCCCCCCCTCTACATTATATGTTGACTTCTGCTTTGTTTTAAAGATATTTAAATAGTTCCCCTTCTTACCTTTATACAGTGGTTCATAAGTATATATATATGCTAGATATACCCCGACCCCTTTCATTTTGGAGTATATTTCTTATATCTTTTAAACGGCTTACGGGTTTAGTAGGATACATGGCAACATAATGAAGGAAAAAATTAATTGATATATATTCCAAAAAAGAGAGTAAATTGTCCTTTTATTGTAAGAAAAATCATATTTCTTGATGAATTCAAGATAAATATTTTCTAAATAATCTTAATTTTGATTTTATCATTTTTAGAGAATAATTTTGAGCCGAGTGCTGAGGTTAGCACTGATAATTGTTTAATAAAACCTGTAATAAACGGAGATACCTGGACCAGATCCAATCCCTATAGTTCACCACCCACCTGGAGTAATCAGAACCAAACTAATCAAATCTATAATGGATATTCTAATTACACCAGTAACAGGTGACATTTTAAACTCATGTTTCAAAAAAAGTTATTATTTTTTTCACATTTTTGACGTGTTCCTGAAATTATAACGATTTTTAAAGATTCAGAAAAATGATTTTAAAAAATGTTATCTTAAAAATTTTTCAATCCCTCATATCATCTTTTCTCAAAAATCTTTAAATGGTGTATATATGTTTTTACATATACTTACCGTTTTTAATTTAAATGTTCATATAGAAAATATCTATCTATCAAGTATCAACCTATCTGCGGCTTGTAGAGCTTGTGTCAGCTGATAACATACTTTTGACAAGATTAGATGAATTTATTAACAAGCGCATATCACGTGATCAACTTATACGCAGATTCTTCTTCAAAAAGTTAAATGTTAAATGTGAAGCCACAGGTTGAGAAAGTTTGCATTTAAATAGCGCCAATCAACAGTTTTGTAAGATTTATTTTTTGATGTTAATTTCTGAAATTTTTCCATTTGTTGCGTGTTTTTTGTCATCATCTAACAATTGTTTTCGTTTTAAGTTTGAACGAATCTGATTTTGATCAAGCAGAACCTGAAGTTATTAAAGAAAGTGTTTGGTCCTTTCTTGAGGACCTTCTCCGTAAAGAAGAGGGACCTTTGCACCACCAGGACCCGAAAATTTGGACCCACATTGACGCCTCAACCTTGTCGATTATCGGCGGCCCGGACAATATTCTTAACTTTGTTATGGTTGATCCTAAGGCGCGGTTTCGTTATTTTCAAGATTATATTTGTCTAATCTCTGACTTATCAAAAACTATAAGTTTGTGCACCAAACGTACAGCTCCGGAACCATATCTACCCTCGTATAGTTTAAATCCTCTGCTAGCTCCTAGTCCACCAGAACCTGTTAATCCTCATCATTTTACCCATTCTAGTTCGAGCAGTGGAGCTGCTCATAATTCACTTTTACCTCCGAGCCCTATAACTGTCCATACAACCCTAAGCCCTGTCACTGTTCCCAATCCACTGCTGTCTGTGAGCCCTGCACCAGTATCTAATACAGACTCAGGAGCTCACGAGATAAGAAGAGCTGTTGAAGAAGCAAGAGCAAAAGAAAACGCTCTTTTTGAAGAGAATGATAAATCTTATAATTCAGAGATTACTGAGAAAACTAATCATGGAATAGGTTAGTAGATTATTTGACACGTTAATTAAACTAATCATGGAATAGGTTAGTAGATTATTTGACACGTTAATTAAACTAATCATGGAATAGGTTAGTGGATTATTTGACAAGTTAATTAAACTAATCATGGAATAGGTTAGTGGATTATTTGACAAGTTAATTAAACTAATCATGGAATAGGTTAGTGGATTATTTGACAAGTTAATTAAACTAATCATGGAATAGGTCAGTTTATTAGTTACCAAGTTAATTAAACTAATCATGGAATACCAAGTTAATTAAAACCATTTTTGGAAAGAGTATAGTTGTTTGGTCAAATATTTAACTAAAAAATATTTTTTTTATTTTTAACTAAAAATTGTTTTTATTGATTTCATTGATTTCATTTGTTAAATTGAGTAATTGATTTGATTGACTGATATATTCATTAAAACTTATTGATTGATTGATTGATGTATTGATTGATTGATTGATGAGTTTGATCTCTAGATAATTTGCTCAAAGGTATGAGAGAAAAACTAAGGCAACAGCCTGAATCTAAAGAGACAATGGGTTCAGCATATTATATTAACCGGTCAGTATTTTTTTAGATTTTATTTACTAGATCTTACAAGGTCTTTCAAGATTTTACTAGATTTTACTAGATTTTACTAGATTTTACTAGATTTTACTAGATTTTACTAGATTTTATTGAATTGATTTTATTTAATTGATTTTATTGAATTGATTTTATTTTATTTTATTTTTTAAGAGGCTCAGCGTATACTTTAGCCGCTGGTGTACAGACTGACATTTCTTCTTTGGATTTAGGTAAATCTACAAAATCACTACTTTTCTTAAAATATTTTTATTTTATTTAATTGAAGAAACGGATATTTTTTATTTCATTCTATGTACTATGTATAATGTTCATTGAATTTGTAACCACCAGGGGCGTAGACAAGAATTTGTCCAGTGAGGGGTTTCTGTACCCGTTGGGGCCTGATATTAGATTATAAAGCCCCCACGGCCCACAGTCCCTACCTTGTATAGTGTGTACGCGGATTGTTGTGGTGGGGGATGTATTAAAATGAATGGTTGACCGCCAATATATGATGGAGTGCGGTGGAAAGAAAATTTTTTAATAATTTTTCAAAAATGTACTATCCTAGATGACGAAATGGATTTATTTACCCTGCAACAAACCAATACAGAGCTGGTGGAAGAACTACAGAACTGCAAGGACAAGATCGCCAAGATACAGAACGACAAGAAGATCGAGTTAAAAGAACTCACGGAGACAAGTAAAAGTCAGCAGGACGAACTTACACGGGCTAAACTTGAAATCCAAAAGTTTCGGGATGAAAATTTCAAACTTCGTAAGATAGCGCTTGATGTACAGGAGAAGGAGCGTGAACTGAAGGGAAGCCTCGGAGAGATGAAGGTGAACCTCGAGGCCGAGCAAAGGCTCAGCTACGACTGGATGAAGAACGGAGAGAAGTTGAAGGAGGAGAATAGGAAGCTGAAGAATGATGTTACCACACAGAAGGAGTTTATTATCGAGGTCCAGTTCAGTTTTTATATCAAACTAATCGATGCTAAACGAGAGCTGAATGATAAAACTTTAATGTTTCTGACCGAACTTAAGCATAATCCTAGCTACGCGCTTCATTCATTAATTATTGACCAAGCCATCAAGGATTTCGAGGATTATAAGAAAACCCTTGTGAAAGCTACGGAGGAGGTTACTACTCTAGCTCGAACCATTCAATCCCATCCTTTCCCGCATTTGGATTATGATATTAAGAAGATTGAAATTCCGAAGCTTGCCTCGAAATTATTCCTTCTCGTTCTTGATGTTACCGGAGCTACACCGGCGGAGTTAACATTCAACTCGGTTCCGCCATTCGCCTTACCTAATCTTGGAATCAGGGGGCCTCCGCCACCAATGGGATCGTTGCCCCCCGGCTACGGAGTTCCGGCTGGATTTCGTTCAGCTATCCGTCCTCCAGGGTTACCAGGNCCCCCCATCTTTTAGATACGTTTAACCCAATAAATTTACGTTTTTTCCCTGAAATTACTTTGATCTATTTCAGCAAAATAATCCTTTTAATAAGTTTTTGCTAAGCGTTAAATCGGTACTGTGATTGAAACATGGTAGTTATTTCATAATTCAAAGTTCACCTATATTTTCACCATCTCTCCCTTTTTTAACTTTTTCGGCTATAATGGCATGGGGTTTTTTCATTTTAGAAGAACATGGTATATTTAAATAAAGATTAAGTTTTTAAATTTTTTTTTTTTACATCAAGAAAATATTGTAGAGAGAGACTCGTCTCAGAATAGATCTGGTTCAGAAACCTCTGGATCATCAGCATCGGGACCTATCCACAAGTCTGGAGCTACGAGATTCAGCATGGGGGAGAAGAGAGATGTTCTCTCTCCGACAACATCCAAGAGCGGTTTCTCCGGATTCTCCGATGTTGGAGCAACGAGACATATGATTCATCCTACTGCAGTTGCTCCTGGTTTCCTACCAGCTGCTGCTGCTACATCAAGAGCTTCTGCAGCTTCTCCATCTAGTTCGGGAGATGTAGGTTCGTATTCCCCCCCCCCCCCACCTTGCTTAAGGGTTGTTGGTTCTTGTTTGGAAATATTAACATTTATACACGTAGTTCAACCGTCTTCTCTTCAGCTTGAACCAGTAAACAAGAATAGAAGCTGAACCACGTCTGGGTTCAGCTACTTTTTCGCTTATTTATTAAATCAGGTTGGTGGACTGATCCTTGTCAAATGATACTCTTGAACATTAACAAATGTTGGCGCGAAACGGATAAATTCGAAAACAAAAATTTAAAGGGACCGTCCACGTAAGATTTAATTTTTTTCTTTCTTTTTCTTATTTCATAAAACCGCAAGTCACGTTTATACAGAACCGCAATTGAAAATAATGAATTTTGAGATGTGAAAACTGGTACTATTGTGAATCAGGCAGGACGCTTTATGAATGCAGAGTCAGAATTGTGTGTACAACCTCTTTAAGTAATATTCATTTTGTTAAGGTAAAAATATGAAGAAGAATCATGAGAAGTTAATTGAAAAACTCAGGGAAAAGTTTTCTCTTAGTCCAGCAGAAGCCAATAGACAACTCCAGCTGCTTAGAGAGGTCAGTATTTTCAATCTTTCTAATCTGTTGAAAAATATTTCATCTGTCTTCTTTTATTCAATAATGTTAATTTGTTGCAGCAAAATGGCGGCAAGCTAAGTGGTTTGTCTGTTCATGATATTTTTCAAACTGTCAGGACAAATCTGGAACATGAAACTGAGGTGAGATCTTTTAAAAATGAAATAGTTACAAAAAAATTTAATTGTGGCTCAATTTGAACCTGAATCCGCTTCTGGGTTTAGCTTGAAGGCTTTTTAACCCGTACCAATTACCCCTCCTTAATCCTCCCATACCCTCTTCCCGCTCCATACTAATCACATACCTCCTTCCCACTCCTTACTCATCACATACGCCCTTCCCACTCCTTAATCAACCCATACCCCCTTCCCGCTTCTTACTTATTACATACCTCCTTCCCACTCCTTAATCATTTAAATCAACCCATACCCCCTTCCCGCTTCTTACTCATCACATACCTCCTTCCCACTTCTTAATCATCCCTTACTCCCTTTCCCGCTTCATACTAATTCCATACCCCCTTCTAACTACTAATTCATCTCATACCGCCTTCCCCCCACTCCTCTTTACTCATCCCATACCTCCTTCCCAACTCCTTACTCATCCTATACCTCCTTCCCCTCTCGTTAATCATCCCATACCTCCTTCCCCCCTCCTTACTCATCCCATACCTCCTTCCCCCCTCCTTACTCATCCCATACCTCCTTCCCCCTCTTACTCATCCCATACCTCCTTCCTAATATTTGATCTAATTTCATTGTATTATAGACTAAGGACTGTGCAATCTGTATGGAGGAGATGGTTAATATCTCCTCTTCACACATCAGAGTGTTAGAACCTTGTAAACATATGTAAGTAGTTACTGTGGTAGGCGATTATATCAATACAAAAAAGACATCTTTCGATTTAAGACAATCTATTTGTGTCAAATATAACATAAAAATAAAGTTTTTAAACAGATTTTTAAGAGAATGGGGATAGTAACATAAAGTTTTGGGAACTTTTACATTTAAGTCATATTTATCTTTTTTCTTCAATGTTTCAAAATTAGCATAAGTAAAAATCTTGGACAGATATTAAAAATTTTGCTCGATAAAAAAGTTGTTTATTCTGCTAGGTTCCACTCTGTGTGTATCAAGAAGTGGTTGGATACTGGTAAATCTGGTAACCTCTGCCCTATGTGCAGGAATTATGTAGCTAAGGTATCATTTAAAAGTTGTAAAAAAAACGGGGGGCGGTGGTAATTTTATTAAATAGTCTTTGAAAATTCCGATTCATTTGAAGTAAAGGGCCGACTTTTAAGCATTTTTAATTCGTTTTTGGTTCGTTTTTAATTAATTTTTGGTTCGTTTTAATTCATTTTTGGTTCGTTTTTAATTCGTTTTTGGTTCGTTTTTAATTCGTTTTTGGTTCGTTTTAATTCGTTTATGGTTCGTTTTAATTCGTTTTTGGTTCGTTTTTAATTCGTTTTTGGTTCGTTTTTAATTCGTTTTTGGTTTGTTTTGTACACTATGGCAAATTTTGGCGATAAAAGAAACTGTAGGCAAAACATTGTGAAAAATAATACTTGTTAACAATATTTTTTCTTCTGTGATTTAAAACTGTTTTGTAGGACGACGAGTACCCAGCGCTGAATGCCAGACCTAGGGGTCAAAAATAATTAAAAAGTATTCTACCAGAGAAAATATTTTTCTATTTTTATAAACTAAAAATATATTTTTTTATAATCTTGAAAATTTAACCGTTAACCTGAAAATGTAAAAGTGTAAAAAAGTTTCTCTTAACTCTTCATCGTTGTCGTAGTAATTTTTTATTTTGTAATTTGTTTTCGATTTCAATAAAATGATTTTGTTTAATAAACCACGGTGAAATTTAATCAAGCCANTTCAAGCTTGTAACAATTAAAACTTATATAAAAAGTCTTCATTATATTGATATGATCGCCTACCACTGTACCTGATGTGCTAGAGAACAAACTCTTCTAACCAATCCCTCCTCAATATCCTCCGCTGGAGTCCGAGTATCCTCCGATCCTATTACTGCATCTACGCAGAGAACTCCTCCGTCACAAATGTTTTATATTTTTATATAAATCTTACACCAAACTTGGGTTCAATTAAGGAGTGTTGATAAAACTCAGATTGCTGATATCGTTTTTCTCTGATTAGTTGCGACGATGTTGACCACCATGCATGCACCCCTTGTCATTATTCATGTTTTATATCTTGTGTTTTTCGAGCACACACTTGAGTGTAGATTGCATTAAACTGGTTGTAAGAACTGAAGCTTATAAATGTCGTGGTATTGACGGGTGCGCGATCTAAATATCAAGCTGTAGAGAAGTATTGGAAGCTGTTAAAGCTGAAACCTGTGGAAACTCCGAGCAACAGGTTTCTGGTTGGACCCGGAGCAAAAGTCCGAACCCAGTGTTTAGTAGAAGGTGGAGAAGGTAGAATCATTCTGGTTTCTTACTCCGTGTGCTGATAAAGGTCTCTGATGGATTCCCATCTCCTTGGCAAATATCTCACCCTGAGAAACACATTTCTTCTTATCCCAGGGTTTCTTCTTGACCTCCTGGCTTGGGCATCCCGGCCGGTCAGATCTTTGAACCGCTGATCTTGTGGATTCACGGTCTGTCGCAGGATGGGGGGGCGGAGCTAGTAGAGAACCGAGGCAGTTAATACCACGGAGCTGTGAATCGGCAACGATTACAGTTCCGCCGAGTAGGACAAACTCCGGAACACCGAAAACATCAATTTCTTTTCCGACATTAAAGGCAGAGCTGGTGCTGGGAGAGAGGGTGGAGCTACGCATAGGATCCCAAATCACTATATCGGCGTCGGAGTCGACTCTGAGGCATCCCTTGCTAGGATACAGGTTCAGGAGTTTAGCAGGGTTCGAGCTGGTTAGATCAACGAACCTGGAGATATCCAGTTTCTCTGGTAGGACCAGCTCAGTATAGAGCAGAGACATCCAATCTTCTGATTCATCTCCGCTCTCATCCTACAATAAGGTTCAAATATTGTAACCGTATATGGAAACGTCTGAGAATGGGACAAAGGCTTATTCGGGGGGGNTCAGGGGGTTTTAATGCCCCAAAGGGTGCTAAGCCCCCCCTGGAAAGAAAAAATTTAAGCCCCCCCCCTGGACAAATTCCTGAAATGGGGTAAGTTTAAATAACTTGCTAGGTATAGCATTTTACGAAAAAACCTGCTAAAATTACTTTGGCTACCCTTACATAGATTCGTAAAACTTTTTCCGAATATTATGTTCTCAATGAAATCCATCAAAAAATTCGAATTTTCATAAAAATTGAGACGTGCATTAAAATCATATATTAAAACTATTCTGAAGTAAAAAAATTTTTGTTCATTTATGTTCACGATTTGTCAATATTTCCATTCATCAATTGCTAATACTAATATTGTCTTAATCTCGCAGTGTCTACATATCTCTGTGTACCTGAGTCGGTTTTCCTCTAGATTTGGAAGCGAGTAATCTATTATCTCCATCTAGTGGCAACTCTTTTAAATTCTCCAGGTCCGTGAGAAGGTCGGCGTATACACGGAGTCCCTTCTCCTGGAACTCCAAGACCAGCTCCAGGGTTGAGGAGTACATCACGTTCAGAAAAAATACGGATACATCCACCTGCAGATATTGTATTTTAATTTAAGGAACTAAGCGTAGTTTCAAGTGACCCAACATGCAAATTTGGCAATGCCCGATTTACAACGGTACCCTAGAAAGCTTTGTCTGATAACGTATGAATTAGATATCCATGTTTTGTTTATTTCAACTGTTTATTTTCAATTCTAGTTTCTGCCAAAGTGACTTGTCCATTTCTTGCTTATAAGAAGCAATGGAGAAATTACCAGAGTCAGAAAAACGACAGTATCGTCGACGTTTTCGATTAGATTAAGGTTTCAAGGGTACAGTTGCAAATTGGGCATTGGCATCTTTTGAAGATTTTATGAAATTTTGACTTCAATATAGTCTATTTCTTGCATATTAAATGACCTGCCCATGAAGTTTACAGAAATGAAACTTGAATTTAAGAGTAAAATAATTCCACACAATCGTCTAAGTCTCATCCTTTTTGGACGTAATCTCATATTTGAGGTTAAATTCAGTCTCAGTGCTTATCTAATGATTAGGCAAAGATCGAAACAAGCTTATAGCAGTTGGGGACCACAAATCTGATAAAAAGTATGCATATTATCTATAATGTATACTACCCCCTCCCCCTTAAACCCCCTGATATACGATTGTAGGCGATTATATCAATATTATAATGAAAACTACTTTTGATTTTGATTCATATAAAGCTTTTAAACAGCATGGATAAATATGGAACATGGAGCTTCTCTTTGTTACTTGTAAACTTGTAATTCAAGCTTGTAACAATTAAAACTTATATAAAAAGTCTTCATTATATTGATATGATCGCCTACCACTGTACCTGATGTGCTAGAGAACAAACTCTTCTAATCAATCCCTCCTCAATATCCTCTGCTGGAGTCCGAGTATCCTCCGATCCTGTTACTGCATCTACGCAGAGAACTCCTCCGACACCAGCCACCACCCGTCCTAGCTCCAGGAGTTCTTCGTCACTCACCTTCTCCGGGTTAACATGGAAGCTTCGAACTCCGAACTCGGTTGCACTCTTCTCAACTACCGCCTCGGTCTCATCGTTCCACTCCGGGACATGGAGTTTCACAGATAAATCGCAGTAAAACCCATTTTCAGAATCTTTTAACACCTTCAAGAACTCAAATGACTTTTCAAAGTCATCGCTTTGGATGGAGTCGACTATTGTCGTAATACCGCCAAGAATAAACGATTTTGTGCGCTCAGCGACACCGTCGCTGTCTGTAAACTCTCGAGAAAGAATCCTGGTTCCATAATCCACTCCTCCGGGTAGTACAAACCTATCCTGGGCATCAATAACCTTTGCTCCCTCGGGGATCTCAAGGTTCTTCTCGATTTTGGTGATCTTTCCACCTTCGACAAGGATGTCGCTCTCCAGGATCTCTTCTGAGTTGACGAGCTTCCCATTGATGATTGCTATCACGGAGTCCTTCGTGTCGGCGAATGGGACAGCGTCCAAGGCCGGGGCTGCTTCCTCTTTCACACATACCTCCTCCTATAAATTACAATAAGTCACGAATTTTGTCTCTTATTAAGCTATTGACCAAGTAAAACAGGTGTTGGGACATTTCATATTGAACATTTCATAGATAGTACATTTCATAGATTGTATATTTCATAGCCAGGACATTTCACAGACGAACATTTCATAGACAGAGAACATTTTTCATAGATATAAGGTACCCTGGTCTGTCTTTCTACATCTCACTGATTTTTTCTTCACATATTATTGATATCTTTTGCTTTAAAATATAATATATTATATTGTTGATATAATCTTAGTTATGACATACACATTTTAAAAGAGATTATTTAAATGCTTTGTTATCATATATGTATCGTAAACTTATAACTTTCCTAAAAATGCGACACATTTTTAAATTGTCTCTGAAAAAAGAAATGCTTTTCTGTCTTCGGAAATATACTTTATTTATGAAAATTCTTTTCTGTCTATGAAATTATCTGCCTAGGAAACATCTACTCTGTTTATGAAATGTCCTATCTATGAAATTGAAATGTCCTTCCTATGAAATGTCCTATCTATGAAATGTCCTATCTATGAAATTGAAATGTCCTTCCTATGAAATGTCCTATCTATGAAATTGAAATGTCCTTCCTATGAAATGTCCTGTCTATGAAATGTCCTGTCTATGAAATGTCCTATCTATGAAATGTCCTGTCTATGAAATGTCCTGTCTATGAAATATTCTATCTATGAAATGTCCTATCTATGAAATGTCCTGTCTATGAAATGTCCTATCTATGAAATGTCCTGTCTATGAAATGTCCTGTCTATGAAATGTCCTGTCTGTGAAATGTCCTATCTATGAAATGTCCTGTCAATGATTTTGTTATCTATAAAATGTCCCAACACCGTAAAACATAAGACATCTATTTATTTTATTTTTCTAACCTGAACAGCTACATAGTAGTCGTGGGATAAAACGTTCGACATCTGACTAGAGTCTGAGGCACCTCCTCGACTAGCACACCTTTATAATACATATAGGGTTCGACATCTGACTAGAGTCTGAGGCATCTCCTCGACTAGCACACCTTTATAATACATATAGGGTTCGACATCTGACTAGAGTCTGAGGCACCTCCTCGACTAGCCACAAAGTATGAAACTCTTAGAATATGAAAATCCCAAGGTTGAATTTGATTCTAGGTTTTTTTATTGTTTTTAAGGCTAAACATGCATGGAACTTCTTATCCAAGCAGACACATTGAGTTAATTCCAGTTAGTCGTCTCTAAGGTCTCATTGTTTGTTGATGAACCTGGATAAGTGGAGTCAAATATCGTTTTCCTCATAAAGGAAGAAATCACCATCAAGAACTAGTTTAGTCTTATAACATGCCAGGTCCCATGCTACCAAAGTTATTAGGTTAGTATTAATTCAAAGCATAGTGATAATCTCCAGTTTGAATAGTCAGTAAACCTTCATTTTCGAACCCATTAATATTCATTAATTTTTGATATTATTCTGATTGTTATTCAATATTTTGTTCCTTTTTATTGTTTAAATAGTATTGTTCTGATTGTTATTCATTGTTATTCAATATTTTGTGTTCCTTTTTATTGTTTAAATAGTATTGTTCTGATTGTTATTCATTGTTATTCAATATTTTGTGTTCCTTTTTATTGTTCTTTTAAGTTACTAAATCTTTCTTTTAAGTTACTAAATCTTTTTTTTCATGTTAATATTTTATAATTACAATTTTTTTATTTTAGTTTCTCTTTACTTTGGTATTAATCTTATTGTTTTTTATTGTTATTGTGATATTTATTTCTAAACTGACAAGGACACCGCCAAAGATCGGACTTCAGATAAGACAGTAGACTGTACAACCAATTTTCTGTCTTTTCTTACTTACAATTGCAACCAGAAAGCAATTTTTGCTTTTTCTATTATATTCGCTATTATATTTCTACAAATGTTCACTGTGTAGGGAATATAACTATATCAGTTGCGAAGGAATTACGCCGTTGCCACAAATTAAAATTTTCTAATCCCAATATCTTTGCAACCTGAGGGTGCAACCTGTGATATCTAAAAGTTACTGTTAAGCGCCGATGAAGGATTCATATTTCCTATTGGATAATGAGATAAATAGAAAGATAGATGTTACTACCATACTATTTCTATTGGTTCAGAATAGACAAAAAACACAAAACTGAACCGTGATTGGATGAGGCGCTAATGGACTCGGCATACAGGACTGGATATGGGGATTAGAAAATCAGTGGCAAAGACTCAATCTTTACCAAATTTTCCCGTCACATTTCATTTTAAAAAGAAAGAAAGAAGATGATAATTATTCATCTGTTGCCTGGGTTTCACTGTAATCAGATTTAGAGTTATTCTGTTCTTTTTGGGTAAACTTGTTTATATTGTTTGCGTAAACTTGTTCATATTTGTAATTCCACACTTTACCGTTTTATGTGAACACTTTACACTGAACAGTGAACAGGTACGGCAGAGAATCAAATTACAACTGACAATTTGTATCTAACCCCCCTCCTCCTCCTGCCTCAAGCATGTTTTTTCCCCGTCATGTGAACCATGAAGAAGGGTATTTCCCCTGCACATGTCATATCAAAGGGGGGGGGGGAATTAAATTTGCAGTCCACGTGAACCAATGCGTAAACAATAATGTGAATTTCTTCATTAAATTTCTCTTTTACAGGGCTAAATTTTAAGAAAAAAATATAATATTTGTTAGTAAACATCACGAAATAATCAACTCACCTTTTATCATATCCAAAATTCATTTTTATGTATTTTTTATTACTCTTCTTCTTAGAAATATAAATTAATCAGTCCATCTGCATTTCTTAATCTGAAATCTTTGTTAAAAGTAATAGAGATAGTAATAATAATTGTTAATAGTAATAGAGATAAAATCTTCTCTATTAATCTTAATACGAAGATGACAATGCCCGATTTACAACGGTACCCTTGAAAGCTTTGTCTGATCAAGTATGAATTAGATATGTTTTTATTTATTTAAACTGTTTATTTTCTATTGCGGTTTCTCTGCGAAACTGTGAAGTATTGAGAAACTTTTAGAAATAAACACTTTTTGAGTAAAAAAAAACGATGGTATCTTCCACATTTTTGATCAGATTAAGGTTTCATGAAGGACACCATTGTCATCTTTGTATGTTGGGTCACTTAAAATTACAACTATACAGTCCCTTCAGCCTACATATTATTTTAAGAATAAAAGTAAATTCAAACCAACCAGTGAAAATAATACAAAAATATTTAATGTTCTTTCTTTCATAACTGTATTCCCTTAAGGTTCGGATGATAGTCTACTGCATGAAATAAAAAGCCAATGATCAAAGAAAAGGGAAAAAGAGGGAATAATAATTAATTAATTTTTATGAAGTTTTTGTATATGTGGTTATTTTTTCTAGTTCTAGTTCTAGTTCTAGTTCTAGTTCTAGCTCTAGTTCTAGTTCTAGTTCTAGTTCTAGTTTTCTAGTTCTAGTTCTTGTTCTAGTTCTAGTTCTAGTTCTAGTTCTAGTTCTAGCTCGGGTTCTGCTTCAAGTTATAGTTATAGTTAAACTTCTGTTCTAGTTCTAGTTCTAGTTCTAGTTCTAGTTCTAGATCTAGTTCTAGTTCTAGTTCTAGTTCTAGTTCTAGATCTAGTTCTAATTCTAGCTCTAGTTCTAGTTCTAGTTTTTATAGTTATTTGCCACTAACTCAAATTTTCTAATCCCTATACCTTAACCTTATGGTGTAAACCTGTGATATTTCAAACTTAAATTATTTTTTCTAAATGAATTCATAGTTTAAAATGTCGAAGGTCTGCAACATTGTGTTGAAAGATGATGGGATTAGAAAATCAGTGTTTGTGGCAAAGATTCAATTAGATGGAGACAAATATTTGAAATTTTGATCATTCATAAACCTTCCCTGGGGTCCCTAGATGTCCCACAAAAAATTTGGGCCCGATCGGTTCAGCCGTTTTGACGCTTATTGGATACAAACAGACAGACAGACAGACAGACAGACAAGCCAAATTTATATATAGATTGAGTTCCAAGAGTAAAAAAAGGAAGAATACAAAATCTACTTGAATTTGGTGACGTTGATTTTTTACGACAATAAGGTTTGCGTAAAACAAAATAGTCATCAAAATCATAGTCTTTAAACTTTCATTAACTTGAAAATCTGTCATAAAGTTTTATGCAATTATTTAATTGTTTAAAAAATCATTCATGCCGCCCTGGCGATATGTACATTTGGTTTATCACCAATAAACAAATAAAAATAATGACCCGACTACCGGAGAAAACGGTTGTACATCACGAAAACTAGAAATTAAACATTTTTAGATGGTCTAGAGGATTATTGAAGAGTTGAGCTGATACTAAGGTTCGGAGGTTTAAGGGCGGAGAAACTGGAACCACTGCAACCGATCGATATACCCGGAGAAAGGATCGGGAAAGATTCGTTCTTGTTTATCATACTTTCTCCGGTCTAGGGGGGAAACTGGACAATATGAGCAACAGTTAATCCCCCCCTTCCCTTTTATTAGATTAGACGATCCTCATCACTCAAACCTAATTAGAGCTGGTCCTAGATCCACAGTTTGGAATAAACCCAGTCAATTCTTTAATAAAAAATAAACATTAAGAAAACCCAACAAAAAACTATTTAATATACGTGATGTAATTTTAATAATTTATGAAATCACAAATTCAGCCAACTCTACTCCCCCTCTTGTACTCAAGGATAGAATTCAGCCAACTCTACTCCCCCTCTTGTACTCAAGGATAGAATTCAGCCAACTCTACTCCCCCTCTTGTACTCAAGGATAGAATTCAGCCAACTCTACTCCAACTCTTGTACTCAAGGATAGAATAAATCCAGAACATTCTGTTCAACCTATCCTATCAAAGTAAACAGAAGACGTTCGACTAATCAAACTATTTGTGGGAATTGGCTAACACTGATATATTAGGCTAGATATTCTCCATTTTAGGCATTTTTTCCAGCCCTGTAGTTGAAGGTTTTGTCTAATTCTATAGCGGTGTTGAAAAAATGAGCCAAATAATCTCAGGAACTGGTTTTGAATTCGTTTCTCTCTCCCAGTTACTTGCTTATTTTAATAGTTTTATTAATATCATAAAATAAGTTATATTTTTGTTAATTAGATATAAAATTGTTAAATACAAGTGGATGTAATGTTTAAAATTACATAATTTCTTTCTGAAATATTGTTTATTTTTTAGTACGCGAACCTAACAATATTGCAAAATGTTTTGCAAAATTGTTACTCAATCTTTTCAATACTGGAATGTTGTTAAACCTTTCAATATTAAACTATTGCGTACATTTTACAAACATTTTCTCAATATTGTACTGCTCTATAGTCGGTACATGATTACAATCAATACAATAATCTTGTTGGAATAACACAATTAGTTATTGTACAGTACTGGCATTATGGCACCGGGTTTGCTGACTGTTCTTGCTTGGGTCTCTTTGTTTGAAATTTTGAAAATGATAAAAAAAAATTAATGTAAAATTAGCATTTTAGAACTTTAAATACCGATTGCATTGATATCTCTAGCTAATTTTAAAAAACCTGAATTAAAGTGCAATCAGAAAATTGTGAAATAGTAAGACGACTTTCAAACTTGAGTTATGATTTTAAATAAGGCCAATGAAATTTTGGGCAGTGTGTACAAACCATATCATTTAAATTTTAATCAGAGATTTTAAATCTATCAAAGTAAAACTGTTTGCTTTGTAACAGCATAAAATACACTTGAAGATTGCTTTAATGTCGTCTTCATAATTCACTGTTTTCTGCTTCTGACTGTATGAAGAATGAAGGAATGCAGAGAGAAAAGAAACGGAAGATAAATTAAAGAGAATGTTTTCGAAAATAAAATAGGGTAACGAAAATACCAAACTTTGATTATTTTGTTTGACCCTTTTATTATTTTTAGCGAACAGTTTCTTTAAGTGAGAAAACGGTGGTTAAAAAAAAAGTAAAAGAAGAAAGAGGAAAACAAGCAAAAAAGATCAGAAAAGTGGAAGAAAATATGCATTGAAGATTTGGATACAAAACAATTTATAAAAAATATATCATCTTTTCAATATAGCTAATATTGATGAGGGGGGGGGGAATATTTGGATGGTTAAAAAAAATATATTTTCTTACTTTTGGCGCTTAGTTTAGGTAATATAGGTTTTAAATTTGTAATAAAAGGTTACTTGTTTTATGAAATTGTGTACGGTTGCAAAGTTTAGTACATTCAGTACGTGTAAAGTGTTCAGTTTACAGTGTTCAATGTACAATGTTAAGCTTACAGTGTTTAGTGTACAGTGTTTATTTTCCATCTGGTTCAGCGTAAAGTGTTCAGCGTAAAGTGTTCAACGTAAAGTGTTCAGCGAAAAGTGTTCAGCGTAAAGTGTTCAGCGTAAAGTGTTCTACGTAAAGTGTTCAGCGTAAAGTGTTCACCGTAATGTGTTCATCATAAAGCGTTCAACGTAAAGTGTTCAGCGTAAAGTGTTCAACGTAAAGTGTTCTACGTAAAGTGTTCAGCGTAAAGTGTTCACCGTAATGTGTTCATCATAAAGCGTTCAACGTAAAGTGTTCAGCGTAAAGTGTTCTACATAGTACATACAGCGTTCAGCGTTTAGTGTCAGTTACAGTGTACACTATATTCTGTTCAACGTAAACCTTGTTTAGTGGAAAGTATGCAATGTTCATGTACAAGGTTAGGTTTGGTCTAAACTGTACATTGAACACTGTACAGTGTTCAGCGGTAAGAATTAGCTTTTTGGTTGCAACTTCTTGCTAGCTAGCAATCTTAGCATGCAGACTAAACATTAGATAGCTAATAAAGATGTTATTATAATGGCTGGACTACATGTGAATATTTGAATCAGTAAGCAACCAATATTCTAGATAGCTAGCTATTTAGGATATATTTAATAGCTATCCTGACTAGCCATCCCGGTTTGTAGTTTGTTAGCAAATTGAACAATTAGAATGAATATGAAGCTAGTAGAGTGTTTAAATAAGCTCTTCTCACCCTTTACCGAAATCCTGAAATTAAAAATATATATTTAAAGAGTAAAAAAACAAATAAAATGACGATCAAATACAAAATTTATAGAGAATTTGAGCTTTAAAATAAAAAAAAAAATGAATAATGGAGCAACTAAGTCTGAAGATAGGAGATAAATAGTTTTGAAAATTAAAATTTTACTTATGTTTTCGGTAGGTTTTATGTTTATGTTTCCGGTAGATTTTATGTTTCCGGTAGATTTCATGTTTCCGGTAGATTTTTTGTTTCCGGTAGATTTTATGTTTCCGGTAGATTTTATGTTTCCGGTAGATTTTATTTTTCTGGTAGATTTAATGGTTATTTTCCAGTATTTCTGAAACCTGTTTAGAGTAGTTTCTTGATTAAGCCAGAACATGAACAGTATGAGCTTGCATTCTTTAGACAATCAAAATTGAATTATTTTATTGAAAATACGAACCTGTTTATGTTGAATACATTGTCACGTGACTTATTATTTATTGACCCTGCCCTGTAGATGTCCATCTGACCGGCCTAGCTGTATAGGAGCGCAGATATAACTCTCCAATCCGTTACTAAAGTCAACGTTCAGCACACCCTAAAACAAAATAAGACTTAACTTGAAATGTTTTTCATAAAAAAACTACTTAATGTGGTTCGGCGGATTGACCAATCAAAATTATTCTCTATGTCAAAGATCGAGATCGCGAAACTGCGTTTTTTTACGAGTCCGCTGTGCCTAGGGATATCAAGTTCAGGGGTGATAAAGTAGCTCTCTCATTTCAAAAAATTGCGACCTTTGCTCAGGGTGGAAATTAGACGAATACAGAAACACCAAATGTTTAAGTATGTAAGTATGTACTTTAACGTGGTTTTGCTGATGAGTTACTGTCACCTTTACTTTCTCAATCGATTCATGTTCGATCTCCAAAATCAAACCTTATTCATTGAAACCGCGGAAAATCGAAGTTTTGCACAATTAAATGGGAGAGAAAAAACAATCAAAATCAAAATTTTAAATATTTTTTTTGCCTCATCACGTTGGTTTTACAAAGAATGGTATAAGCACATCATAAATCAGCTAAAAATGTTTTCTAAACGAGTGGCACAAAGCGTCTCTTTTTCCTGGTTTCTTGGCAACAACTAAACGGCGTATTTTGACATTTTCTACTGATATTAAGATTCAGGGTTTTAATTTACTCCAGGATTGATTTGATTAGTTTAAGTTTAAGCTCCGGGACACAGTTTTCATCTGTTATTATCTAGGTTCAGGGATTTAATATTGAACTAAATCAGCTGTTAATAAAATGCGGGTCTGCCGATACAACTTAGTGCTATTTTAACGCCTCAAGATCTTATTAACACTACCAAACCAAACATAAACCAAACCAAACATAAACCAAACCAAACATAAAAGTCGCAATCCTGAATTTCTGAAAACGCATTCTACATCAAAAATTTATTCTCAGTGAAATTTGTATTCAATGTTGATTTGTAATTTGTAATTTGAAATATTCAATTTTTGATGGTTTCACGTTATAAATGCAAATAGGTATAATATAAAGACGTACATTACTGTAATTAGGAAGGCTAATGATTAATAAAACTAATTTGTTATTGTGCAACAAATTGATTAATGCAAACACTTATGGGTCTGTTTAATCAATGATGAGCGGTGAAAAATTAACTTAAAAATTTAAACAAAAAAGATATTTTAATCAAGATCATAATAAATGTACTGGCCAAAAGGCTGGACCAAATAGTCTGAAATGATTTGAGGGAACCCATGGGAGCCTGGGATATTTTTAATGATTATTATCATCATAATTATCATTGTTCTAAATAATATCCAACCTCTATAAAATCTCCTCTCCCTAGTGTTCTCTGTATCTCCCAGAGCTGTATAGGTTTTCCAAGTGAACGAGGGGACCCGGAGAATCTGTTAGATCCGTCCCGTCCTGATCCAGTTCTATCCCAACCCAGAGTACTTGATCTCTCTCTATGAGCTGCGCAATCCCTGCTGCAGGTAAAAACCTTCTCACTAAAATGAAAAAAAACTGTTAATGATATTTTTTATTTTATTTTATTCAAGGAAACCTAATAGTTAACACAGAGATAATATCAAATATTTGAATTCTGATTTTTGAATAATTTTTGATTATATATGCATGTTAATTATTCAAGGACTAATCAGGATAATCAGGCTTGAAAAATCCTAACCTCTGAACCTACAGCATGAATTTTATACTTATACTTTTTATGTTTATATAAATACAGTAAGAACAAAAAAACTCTGGAATAGGAAGACGACTTTTAGACCTAAGTTACGACCTTAAATATTTCAATGAAGATGAGACACAGCTATATGCTTTGTAACCACATCAAGTATTGCGTTAATGTCGTCTTTCTAATTAGATAGTTCAATGAACATTAGACAAAGCAATTGTGCTGTGGGAATAGACCCATTTCACTTAATAAGTGATTTTATAAGTTAATAGTAAAGCTTTTTTTGGTAATAACATCAAATATTGCGTTAATATCGTCTTCTTATTCCACAGTTTTCTGGTTCTATTTGTAAATATTTTATACAAAACAGCTGTACAAACACACAAATTACCGGGTTAAATTAATCTAAAAGGTAAAAAATTACCTTATCTTTGGTCTACGAAGGTCTTTGGTAGACTTCGACTTCATTGAGGAGAGGGACGAAGTGCTGGCGGACTTGGAGAGTGATGATATTAATCTTGGTCCTGGTAAACTTGTGTTCCTCGGGTAGGCGGGCCGCCAGGTGGGCGGGGAACTGTCCCATCCGTTCCCAGATACAGAACTGTGTTTCGCTGTTGTAAGTCTTCGAGTTTCTGTTCTTCGAGCCGGAGATAGGGGGCTCCGAGCCGGGGAGTGGGAGCTTCGAGCCGGGGACAGGGGGCTTGGATCCGGAGACAGGGGGCTCCGAGCCGGGAAGCGGGAGCTTCGAACCGGAGATACGATCTTTCGACTTGGGGATTCAGTTTTTAGAACCGGAGATTTGGGTTTCAGAGTTTGTGAATCCTTACTTTGAGTCGAAAATTCTGTTTTCCGAGCCGGTGATTCTGTTTTCCGCACCGGTGATTGTGTTTTCGGTGATCTAATCGAAATACTTTTCAACGGGGAGTCTAGTTTTCCAATCTGTACCTTCCGAATCGGCGATTCAGTTTTTAGAGTTGAAGATACGCGTTTTCTGGTTGGTGAATCTATTCTTGAAACTTCAAGTTCAGATTTTCGATTTTTGGAGTCAGCCTGTCGATTAGAGGATTCAGTTTTCTGCGCTTGAAATTTTGATTTTCCGACCCTTTCCGATTTTTCTTGTTTGCTCTGATCCTGTGTTTGTACGCTAGAATAATTTTCAGATGGAGATATTTTCTTTAGTTCGGATGAATTGGGTCGATCAGTGGAGACTGAAACCTGAACTCGGAGAACTTCGTCAGTTCTGATTTCAGACCTAGAAATTAAAATATTTAAAAGTTCATCTTATTATTCTTTATCATAGTCTACTTTATGTACAATACTCAAACAGTTCTATGGAATGTGAGTTTTTCATTGAAAATAAATAAAATTAATTCAAGGCACGAGCAGACAATGTTCAAGGTTAGAAGTTTTCTCACCTTGGAGAAGGTTGTGACTCCAGGTCCTTGATTGAGTAGTCCTCCTCCAGGTCCTCGGCATCCTCCGTCTCTACACTCTCCCGTCCTTCATCAGTAAAATTCTCAATTTCTGGGGATCCAAGGTTGGTTGGATCCTCTCCATCCTCCTCCTCCTCAACCTCCTTTATATCACACTCACTTGGAGTCTCATCATACCCACTCTCACACTCAGAGTTCAAACTGTGAATCCGAGTGACCAATAGTTTTAAGTGTTCAAACTCTGCTGGGTTGGATTCCGAGTGGTCCAGACTTGGCTCCGAACCTTCTTTTGAACTAGAGATATCATCCTCGGGTTGGAATCTGAACCCTGCACTAGAGATATCATCCTCGGGCTGGAATCTGCTCCCTGAAGCCTTTTCTGTATCCTCTCCTGGACTATTCATTTCCGGATTAGGAGCTGAACCCTTCCTTAACTAAGAACTGAAGGGGGTTACCAGGACTAGGATACTTGAACCTGGAACCTGGAACAATGTATCCAATTAAAGGGATAATATCTAAATGTTAATATTTATAGATCTTCTATGACATATAGAGTCTAGGAAACCGACGTCCACAATTTCTTATATCTTTACATATACTTGGCGTGTCTGCTTGTGGGTGTTTGTTTGTTTGTTTGTTTGTTTGTGTCCAATAAACGTAAAAACGACTGAAACTATCGGGGCAACTCAATGACCCCAAGGAATGTTTAAATTTTAAACGGGAAAAATGTAGAATTAAATTGAGTTTTTGCCACAAACAGATATTTTCTAGTTCCTAAATCTTTACAACCTGAATGTGTAAGCCTTTCATATTTCAAATGTACACTACTAAATTCACCATAATTTATATTTTGAAATATCAAAGGTCTACGATATCGGGTTGTAAAGATATAGGGATTAGAAAATCAGAGTTTGTGATAAATTTTTTTAAATTTAAACAGAAAAATCTGCGAACATTTGAGAACGATTTTCAGAGTTCAAAGCTAAAATTGTTATAATTGTTAACAGGAATAGGGAAGCGATGCGCTCTAAAAGCCTAGATTATTTTCGTTAATTTATTTATCGTTTATGAAATTCTCTGTAACCGCGACGTCCACAATTTCTAAAAGAAAGGAAAGAACATAAACGTTCAGGATAATTCCTTTCCGCTAATTCATTGTTTACATTATTTGATATTATCAGTTACCTTTAACGATTTGATTATGATTCGCACCCCCCCCCTGGTTTTGGGATAAATTGTGCTGTAATGTTATCTTGAAACTAAGATTTCAACTAGATGTAGAAAATATCTTCTCCTTAAAAGGTATAATTTGTGTGAACTCCTGATCAAAACTAGTTTTTCGAGACAAATTTTTTTTCAAACATAAAAATAATCTTTTGAGTATACTTGTGCAGTTACAATTTACAAATTACACTTAAAGGGAGTGTTTGTAATTATACTAAAAGGGACTGTGCGTAATTATACTAAAAGGGAGTGTAAACGTAATTTCAAGGTACTCCAGTGACCCTCTATGCAAGAGATGTCAATGCCCGTCACAGCGGTACTCTAAAAAGCTTTGTCTGATCAAAGGATTAATAAGATATCAATGTTAGTAATTTTTTAACTGATTTCCAAGTTACTTGCGCATTTCTACTGCTGAAAAAACATAAAGGAATTATCAGAATTAAACATTTTTAAACCTAGAAATCAGATAAAGGTTTCAAGGTTACCGTTGTGAATCGGGCATTGTCCTCCTTCCATGGAGGGTCACTTTAAGTATATGAATTATATATTTACAAAAACTACCCATACATATGAACCTTTTTTGATGAGATTTTTATGTAACTACATGACCTCTATTTTTTTTGACATGTGAGAATTTAAAATCAGATGCGACGATTTGACCTCAAGACACGTGACACTCTTCGAAACACATTTCGTTGATATTCCCTTTAACAATTTAATTTTTCGTAAAGTTTGACAGATTTTCTCCTGGCCCTCTTTGTTCTGTATTTTGTTCAAGTTTTAAGTTTAAAGCGGAGATGATTTGCATAAATCAAGTTTATTTTTACACTTCAGGATGAGTCGACAAATCTATAATATTCTATCATTTTGTCAAGCTTTCACACAATACAACAATTTGAAAATATTATTTTTTAAAGATTAAATTGAATTTTATCTCGTTACAAAATTTTTAAAGAAAGAAATGTGTGTTTTTGACAGAAAATTGGAAAACGAAATCAACAATCTTCTTGGAATAAAAAAATTGTTTAAAAGACGATTTTAACGAAACGAAAACTCCAAACTTTAAATTTCCTGATATCTTTGCAACCTGATAGTGTACACCCATTTTAAGTTATGCCTTTCAGATTGAAATATCAAAGCTCTAAGATATCAGGTTGTAAAGATTTAGGGATTGGAAAATCAGAATTTGAGGCATGTGTTCAGTTCCGTTGTAATAAAAAATAGCATTGACAAATAATTGGATGATTTTCATAACCCACCCTGTATTGTATATACTGGCCCTGTGTGTGTAATATACGTAATAATAAAGTTCGGATCAGGTTGGGATTAAATTGATCTGTAATCTAATATCTTAAACTCTAGGTACTAGGAGAGGACATATATAAAGACATCCCACCTAAAGGAATCGGATCTAAGGATTTTTTAACCTAAGGTTTTTCTGGTCTAAGGGTTTTCTGACCTACGTGGTTTCCGACTTAAAATTTTATTAGATCTTAAAATATGTTAGATTAAGCTGGGTAGGTGGAGTTGAATTGGGGCTAGACTTATTATAAAAGGAGTCAAAGTGAAAACTTTTCGATATTTTTTAAATACTACTCGGCAATTAGTTTGGTTACCTCTTAGGTCAGTTTCCATAACATCAATTCTTGTATTTTTGTTGGTTTGAATACAGTAAACGTTAAAAAGACTTGAACCGATTGGAATGAAAAAAAATCTCTTGAAATAGAAAATATTAAAATTTAAAATATTCCTCAATCAAAACAAAAACATCGCTAAAAGTGTTACTGTTATATCTATATAATAAAGCTCTTCGCTTGTATATATTTGTATTTAATATATGTTAGCTATAGCTGACCAAACGGCTGGACCAAATTGGCTGAATTTTTTTGAGGGAACCCATAAGTACCAGGAGGTAACAAAGGCCTAAAAAAATTAGAATTTTTTTCTTTAAAATTTGAATAAAATATTTGAAGTGTTTTTAAATTCCACGGGCAGCGTCACTTCAGCTAGTAATATATAATAATAATGATAAATAAGTCTTTCATTTAAGATTAACGTTCAAAAATAAGGATCTCCCTCTTTATGTATGTTTGTATACTGTATAGTATATCAGAGCCAAAAAGTTGAAACCAGATATTCGGTAGACCCGGAGTAAGCAGAGAAAGAGATGAGAGTGAACAAAATAATATTCTTCTCTTACAACCATGAATCATTAGATTATGATGAACATAAGATGCGAATTTAGAGGATTCTACTCATAACAGGAATATTTAGAGGATTCTACTCATAACAGGAATATTTAGAGGGTTCTACTCATAACAGGAATATTTAGAGGATTATAACAGGAATATTTAGAGGATTCTACTCATAACAGGAATATTTAGAGGATTATAACAGGAATATTTAGAGGATTCTACTCATAACAGGAATATTTAAAGGTTTATAACAGGAATATTTAGAGGTTTCTACTCATAACAGGAATATTTAGAGGATTATAACACTAATATTTAGAGGATTATAAAAGGAATATTTAGAGGATTATAACAGGAATATTTAGAGGATTATAACAGGAATATTTAGGAATATTTAGAGGATTATAACAGGAATATTTAGAGGATTATAACAGGAATATTTAGAGGATTATAACAGGAATATTGATTCGGAAAAATTCTGGGTAATTCAATTCTTGGTTGGATCTAAGTTCGGAGCAGGATTCCAGGAACCCAGAGAACCAACCATAGAAATCCTTGCCACTTCTTTCAGTTCCGTAATATCAGAAGATTTTAAGGATTAGGGATACAGGGAGTCATGGAGACAAGGAGACATGGAGTCAATTCAGGTTTATGAGTTTAATCCAGGCATAGGAGTATATTGTAGGTTTAGAAGTATACTCTAGGTTTAGGAGTATACTTAAGGTTTAGGAGTATACTCTAGGCTTAGGAGTATACTCTAAGCTTAAGTGTATACTATAGATTTAGAAGTATACTCTATGTTTAGGAGTATACTCCTAAATCAAGAATTATGGTCTAGGTTTAGGAGTATACTCTAGGATCAGGAGTATACTTTAGGTTTAGGAGTATCCTCTAGGTTTAGGAATACACTCTAGGTTTAGGAGTATACTCTAGGTTTAGGAGTATACTCTAGGTTTAGGAGTATACTCTAGGTTTAAGAGTATACCATAGGTTTAGGTTTAGGATATCCTCTAGGTTTAGGAGTATAATCTAGGTTTAGGAGTATACTCTAGGTTTAGGAGTATACCCTAGGTTTAGGAGTATCCTCTAGGTTTAGGAATATACTCTAGGTAAAGGAGTATACTCTAGGTTTAGGAGTATACTCTAGGTTTAGGAGTATCCTCTAGGTTTAGGAATATACTCTAGGTAAAGGAGTATACTCTAGGTTTAGGAGTATACTCTAGGGTTAAGAGTATACTCTAGGTTTAGGGGTAAACTCTAGGTTTAGGAGTATACTCTAGGTTTACTAGGTTTAGGGGTAAACTCTAGGTTTAGGGGTAAACTCTAGGGTTAGGAGTATCCTCTAGGTTTAGGAGTATACTCTAGGTTTAGGGCTCTAGGTTTAGGGGTAAACTCTAGGGTTAGGAGTATCCTCTAGGTTTAGGGGTAAACTCTAGGGTTAGGAGTATCCTCTAGGTAAAGGAGTATACTCTAGATTTACGCTAGTTTCAATTGTTGACTCCGGGTAGAAGATTTAATACAGAATTTTGAGAATGATCATTTCTGCATTCCTGATGATAGTGTATAATTTATTCTTTACCTAAGGTCAATCTATAAACCCGATTTATCGGTCTTATTAAAATCTATCCTCAAATTAAAATCAAATCAAGATGAACAATTGAATTTGAAAAATATTCGAACCGACACACGACCAAACAATAAAGTCTATTATTAAGGGGGGGGGGGAGCATATGCCTATGTTGAACTCAAAAAAAAATCGATTGTTGCTGAAAAGTCTCAGATTTGAACCGATTCTCGTGTTTCGTACATTGAGAATATCTGCTCAAAGTTTCAGATCTAATGGTGCAAACGATAAACTTGTATCATGCTCGTAGCAAATAATAATTACAGTTGATGTTTTGGAAACAACAATATCTAAAATCAAGTAAATTGTTAATACGTTCACCATGGTGTTTTTTCACTATTTGTCCGGAAATTTTAAGCTAACAACAACTTGCTTAAAGTTTCCGATCTAATGGTGCAAAAAAGTTCAAATTAGTTATATTAAAGGGACAGTAAAGGAAAAATGAAAGGGGGTATAGGATGAAAGCTGAGGTTCTCAGCTTTCTGCTGGATGAAGATCTTTTTATATTGGTGGCGTATTTTTTTAATATGATTTATTTAATACTACAACTTTTATACCAAATCTGGCATATGCCTGTTTTGGTATAATTTCGACACAGTTTTATGTCAATTTCTCGAGACAGGAACATCAGATAGATGTCTTCTATGGTATCGTTCAAAAGCTGAGAACCTCAGCTTTTATCCTATACCCCTTTCATTTTTCCTTTACTGTCCCTTTAAGAGGTTTTTTTAATCTTTAAACTTTGAACAAATTTGCTATGATAATGATACAAGATTTAGTTTTTCAACATTAAATCAGACATTTTTTGTAAATATTTTAAATGCCATAGTAATTAATCAAAGGTTTAAAATTGAGGCTCTGGCATTAGCTACGGGGTTTAAAAAGAACAGGATAAACCTTGCATCTTGAGTTTCATCTTAAAGGGAGACTGCTGGAAAAATTAAAGTGGAGTTTCATCTTAAAGGGACTGTTGGCGAAATAAAAGTGGAGTTTCATGCACCCACAAATTGACGGTACTCTATGTAAATATAAGAATGAGAAAGATAGCGTCTTTTTCTATCTTGATAAAGATTAATTCTGTAAATTACCGTCATTGTCTTTTATGCATTACTCAGCGAATTTCTTTTTTTGAAAATCCGGAAATGAAATCATTTTAATGAGATGTTTTTTTTCTACATTCATAAATAACAAATGTAAACTTTTGTATCTCCAAAAAAATAATTTTTGCGCAATTCGTAAAGGAACTAAACATTTCATTCAAACTCGAATTGTTAACCACTTTTAAAAAACTTGATGCGGTACCCTTTTGATATTTCAAACAGATATGACAGATATTACAGATATGTTAGATATGACAGATATGACAGATGCTATAGTCAAAGATTGAAATATATAAAATCTTTAATAAATAAATAAACACGGACAATTTTTAAACTTTCAAATATTTAATCGCAAAATTTCAGTTTTTGAAAAGATTCATAAGAATCGACCCACTACACTTTAATATTTTTAGATATTCTAACCGTGGGTTACCTATCTCTAGGTATCCCCGGAGTTGTGACAGGTTTGAGAGCTGAGCTGTTACTGAATATTGAGCGACTAGGACGGATAAACTGCTGTAGGACGGAGAATATCCGGGGCCCACAATATACAGGTGTATTCTATCACAGACCCTGATACTTCAACATACAACCGATCATGTTTTAATCAGCTTTCTAGCATAATTCATGGAGAGGACATTTTATAATTTTTTTATTCTTTGTTTTTGTGATTCTGTGACAAATGGCTGAACTAGTTGTTTTTTAACAAATTGTCGTGTTTGTGGAAGAATTCTAAAAACTCTCGGTCAAATTCCTCCAGTGCTCTGGCCATAACCATTTAAAACTTCAGGTGGGGAGGGGGGGCTCTCATAACCTAGGCGAGACAATTATTTAAGGAATCAAGAAAAAAAATCAAAAAGGAAAAATTCCTCGCCTATTTTCAAATTCTGATATTTCAAACTATGAAATATGCCTTAAACTCTCACTTTCTAATCCCTGATTAGGGTAAGAACATTTTTTGCATTTCGTTCGCTTAGATAAAAAAGCGAAAATTTTCGCTTTAATCTGTTTCGCGAAAAAAATTATAAATTTTCGCTAAATAGGAATGCGAAAATTTTGAGAAAAAAAGAAAACGAAAATTTCGCGAAAAAAACGATTCATTTAAAAGATTCTTTTTTGTTATTGGCTGGCTGATGACTAGCTGAATTTGAGTGAACGTACGTGGACAGACAGGAACTCAGAAAGATAGCTAGAGAAATCAAATTCTCAACATCAAACATTCATTAAAGTAAAGGAAGAGAAATTATTAATATGATATAATAAAACTTCAAATGTTTTTTTGCGCAATTATTTGTTTCAGCTACTTATGGTTTTCGCGAAATTTTCGCATTTCGCATCGCATTTCGCATTTTTGCGAATTTTTTTCCTCGCAAAATTTGCATCGTTTTGGCATTTTTTCGCTCCATAAATTTTCGCGAAAAAATTCAAAATTTCGCGAAAAAGTGTGCGAAATGCGAACAAAATTTTCGTATTTTATCGCGAAACGTTTCGTTCGCTGGAAACCCTAAGCATGGCCTTTGAATCTATATATAGAATATATTTATAAATCTAAATAAATATATCCAATCCTCTTGTTTAAGTATTAGAGTATTATTTATTATATTTAAATCCATCGAAAGTATTGTTCTGAAGGTGTATGTTTGTAGTAAGCTAGAGCTTAATATAACGTTTTAAAGCAGGATACATGTATTTATATAACATAGAACAGGGATTATTTTATGCAAAAAATCTTTATGGTATATTTTTTAATTTGTACCTGTACACTCTTATATAATAATTTTTTGATACCCAGTAGATATACTTGATAATTATAGTATAACACTGTATATTATGTGTATATTTAAAGCTATACAGGGTAAGTGAAAAACTGAATTAGCCTTGTGATACAGACGGAAATCACGTGACCAGTATACTGCCCTGCCATTGGCTGAAGTTCTGTTGACGTAATACGGACTATGCGAACTATATGTAATTATATTATCAATTATATTTATTAAAAATGCTAAATTAAAATTAAAAAATTATAATAAGAGCAAAACATGAGATTCTCAGGCTCCTGTGCGATATTGTCGTTTTCAGATTGGTTGCGTATTTGTTGAATATGATCTTTTTAATACTACAACTTTTATACAAAATTGCATATATATGAATTCTGAGATTCTCAGGTTTCATCCTATACCCCCTTTCATTTTTCCTTTACAGCCCCTTTAAGGTTAAAAATCTTATATTTAGTTATCTGATATTTTAATACAAGTTACGACACAAAGTTACAGAAAAATCATATTTTGCTTTACTGGCTATGGTAGGATTTGGTTCATATTTGAACTAATATTTTATCTGGTTTTTATCCTTATATCTTTCTTAATCTCACTTATACTTTAAACATACTTTAAACATACTTTAAACATACTTTAAACATACTTTAAACAACATTAATCCCGTTTTATTCTCGTCCTGTTATATATATATATATATATAACCTATACGTATTTATTAAATATAGAATTAGAATATTAGATACACAGATTAGCACTATAGGATGTCAGACTGCAGAGTATAGAGAGCCTCAATTATATAAATACTTAAATACAAACATATATACAGAGATATATATCCATCATAGACTGATATACATACATTTCATACTAAAAATATATCTAGGTTGGAATGAAATATATATATATATCAATTATATAGATACATAAATACAAACTTAGCAGAGATATATATTCATTATAGACTGATATACATACATTTCATACTAAAAATAGATCTAGGTTGTAATGAAATATATATATATATATATATATCAATTATATAGATACATAAATACAAACATAGCAGAGATATANATTTTCTAGACCGGCTCGAATTTGAAGTGTCGCATCGTTTTGGCGTTTAATGTTACATCACTAGCTCAGTTATATTTTGGAATACATATTATTTTAGTTTAATTTTATCAAGATTGTTCAAGATTTTCATCGTAAACCTTTAGATCAATGTGACTAAGATACACTCATTTTATAATGACATACATTTATTTCATACTATCCTCCATATATGAAATACGTACTCAATAAAAACATACACTCATCATGTACTGACATACATATACTATATCCGGACATGAAAACATCATATATACATAAACAACCAAACATTACATACATATTTACATATATTTATTTTATAATGACATACATGTAACATGCATTACATACAGACATATACTCGCAAACATACATTAAATACTAACATATATTTTCATATACTGAATATCCATCTATCTATGTATTTTATCTCATCATCATATTATCTTTCGATATTAATCTTTCAAGGATCATTTCTAAGAATAAAATAAAATTTTAAACAAAATGACATTTGAAATTTTTAAAGATATTCATACCGGCTGTTTGTACGTGCATGTTTAATATAGAAAAAATTGAAAAATCTGAAAATTAAAGATTAACTCTGATAAAACTTAGACCGTGAAGAAATGAATTGTTTGTAGCCTGAACCCTATCTCCAGTTGGAAATTTTCAATGTTATGTAAGTTTTGGGTTTGACGCAGGCTGCACTGTATCCGGCCAGTGTTGAAAACTAGAGTCAGGATGGATAAATCAGCTCAGGGTACTCAATACAACACACAGTTCTCTCAATATGATGACAACCAAACCAAACCATGAAAATATGTTTATGTACAGCTGGTACATGTTTACCTGGAACCGGTTTGAGCAGAATACCGGAAGAAGACCGGCGGAACCAGGGTTTTCTGTCAGACTGAATTAGAACCGGTTTCTCTCTGGTTGGAAGAGGTCGATATTAATCCTCTTGAATCCTCCACAGCTTCCTGGAGCCTACAGACACTTGAGTTCATTATGTACGTTTCTATACCTTAGCCGGCCCTCCCTAGTATTCATCAGAACATTTAGAAATAATTTTAAAAGTTTTAAATATGCATTTTAAGTAAGTAACATCACAGATTTAATTATAAAATATTAATGATGTAGCTGTAAATAAGTAAATTGAAATTTCATTTTAGATTGAAATCTTCTTTTTTTTAACCACAACACCATTTTATATAAGAAGCTATTGATAAAAAACGTTTTGAAATCCTTTATTAAGCCAAACAAGTTTTTTTTTAATGACTCTTACGGATGAAATAATTAAATGAATTGCACGGTCGCAAAGTCGTACCAAACATTCAAAATCATGTTACGCTATCACACACCTCTGACCCTCTAGTAAAAGTAAATTCAACCGCGTCAACCTTGTTGCACCCGCTAGTCCAAATGAGTGCCACCGTCTGCTTTATTTACCAAATGTCCGGGCTATACAGTACAAACTGGGACCGGAAAGGTTGACCCGGCTCGGAAATTCAAATGTACTACATCCAGTGCCCATGACTACAGCTGCCCGTGCTATCGGTTAAATCAAGTGTAGGGTAAGACCGCTGCGGCTTTGAAAATTGGAAATGTGCAAGTATTTGGAAATTTTAGATATTTTAGATTAGGGAATTTTAGATAAGGAAATTTTAGATTAGGGAATTTTAGATTCGGAATTAGGGAATTTTAGATTAGGGAATTTTAGATTAGAGAATTTACCTTATGGAAAACTATACATTTGAGAAAATTAAACTTTAAAAATTGTGCATTTGGGAAAATGGGATTTTAAAATTATACATTTTTTCAAAAAAATTTTACATTTGGGAAGATATGGGACTTTGAAAAAATACATTTGGGAATTTTTAGATTGTACATTTTCAAAATTTCCTCTGGAGTAGCTAAATATTTTTGAATTCAAATCATTCACCTTAATTATTTAGTAGTTTTGTTCCAAAGATAATATATATATAGATATGCAGGCAGGTATAAATTTTGAGGTCATGAGAAAAGGTGCAAACAGCACCATCTCTGTCGCACGCATGGCATTTTATCCTCTGGATTGTTCCTAATTTATCACTTTGTTTATGCGTGATAACACTAAATGCGTACTATAGTATCAACAATGTATACTGCATATTGTACTTAATGAAACAAATTAATCAATGCAAATAAAACTGANTAACTCGCTATAAATGCCAGATTGGAAATTTATGGGGTAATCTATATATATATATTATCTTTGTTTTGTTCTGTGCATGATGGTATAAAGTTGTTAAGTATATTATCTCTAGCATTAAAAGGATGCGTTTATAAAACTGAATACCGTTCTGGTTCAATTATTCAATTGTCAGAATGAAATTTTAAATAAAGATACAAGATAAGACATAAATCTTTTCTGGTTCAAAACCCGTGACTCTATACATCTACCCTGGAATCTATCTATCTATCTATCTATCTATCTATCTATCTATCTATCTATCTATCTATCTATCTATCTATCTATCTATCTATCTCTTGCATATGGCAGATATTGTTCGTTTTGAAAAAAATTAAAAAAATTTAGTTTTTTTAAAGATTTTTTTACATATTATAAAATAGAGTTTGATAATTTTTTTATCGAGTTTTAATTT